CTCACAAATCATAGGTACAGGGTTATTGATAAATATTTAACAACTTCGTAGGACTGTACCAACTTCATCATAGACTAAAACTTTTGTGATTCGACTTTTAATAGGTAATTGTGAATTCCTTCTTTCTTAGTATAAACTTTGACTTTAGCTATATATATATAGTATATGGACAAATTATACAGTAAGTGAACTAGATAGTTTTTTATAAGACAGAAATCTAGGTGAACGTTTTCATATAGAAAAAAGAATATATAATAACAAAGTCTGATAAGAGATTTCATGAGTAAATCACTGAAATATATTTTCATTATCAATTTATTTTCGTGAATTGTATCGGTACTTTTTCGAATATGTTTTTTTAAGATAGGTAGTACTGGAATTTACTGGTTAATTATCTACAAAAAAATAAGTAACACGACAGCGTTTTCATCCCCGTCATATAGATGGTTGGCAGGCCACAACTTTTCCTGGAACTTTCTACCGCGCACCGCAAAACTGTGGAATGATCTGTCGTCGGCGATATTTCCGAACCGGTACCAACTACAAACCACTTCGTACAAACAATCAATTGTGTACTTGCTAACTAATCAAATTCAATACTTTTTTCGAACTGTCAAAAACAAAAGTGTTCTATGAATTTCAGCATCAAACAGCATCCTAATCCTAATCCTAACTAATATTATAAATGCGAAAGTAACTCTGTCTGTCTGTCTGTCTGCTACTCTTTCACACCAAAACTACTGAACGGATTTGAATGAAATTTGGTATACAGATATTCTAGACCCCGAGATAAAACATAGGCTACTTTTTATCGCGAAAAAGGGGTTGTAAGACTATGTCGATTTTTAAGAATAATTATTACGATTTATCTGAAAACCTGAAAACGGATATCTGACAGGTAACATTACTATGGTAACCAACCTGATGATTTGTAATTGTTATGGCATCCTACTTCCATAATATATATATTTTGGCATCAACATATAAAAATGAAGTTCTGTGGGTTTTCAAGGAATAATATTAGTATTCAGCTGCATCAGGGATCAGGGATTTTAAAGACAAAATACGAATTCAATTGACTGAATACAATTTATTAATAGACTAGCCTCTGTCTGCGGCTTCTCTCGCGTTCTTTTAATGGGGTGAGGGAAGGATTTACAATAAACAAAATTAAATGATGCACGATTCTATGCTGGTCACAAATAACCCGCATACCAATTGTTAGCTTTCCACATTGAAAATTGCAAAATACCCCATACAAACTTTCACCTCTGTTTCACGGAAGTGGAAGGGGGTTAGAAAAAGACAAAAAGTAGCCTATGATACTCTCCATCTTTTCAACTATCTCAAATCAAAAACCTTCCTGACTCCGTTCTGTCGTGAAATACGGACAAACAAACAAACAAGCACATACAAATTTATATTATTAGTATACATTTCTTAAGTCATCTGACATTTGTGTGACAAGTGAGTTTACAAAGTCAATGTGTCATAGATTTTTTTTATACTATGGTATTAATATTAAGGTATGCAAAGAGGTTACAGCAGTCTAAGGAGATAAAACCACGAATAAAATATTTTCAGTTTACTTGAATTCGTATTTTTTATATGTATATATCAAAAAAACTAGCTAAATGCACATAGCTAAAAAATAATATTAGTCCTTTTCATTTTAGACCGTCAAGGCCAAATTCACTATGATAGTTTGCTGTTTGTTTATGGCATAAGCCGGTAAACGAGCAGACGGATCACCTGATGGTAAGCAATCTGCGCCGCCCATGGACACCTGTAACACCAGAAGTGCTAGAAGTGCGTTACCGGTCTTTTGGGAATTGGTAATTTGAGGATTGTCAGGAATTGGGGGGGCTGGGGGAGGGGTAATTGGGCCTCCGGTAACCTCACTTACACAGCGAAACACTCCTTTAGGTAACCGAGGGCTGGGCTCGCTGTCATTGCAGCGGAAAGTCCCCTCTTTAAAAGTGGCTTTAGAGAGGCCATCAATGCAAGGACCACCCGGAGAACACGGTGGAGCATACCGTGGCGGTGTACCTTGCATGGGCTGAGCACCGCCGTGTTCTCAGGGATGTAGGAAACGGTGACCTGACTCGAGTTCGGCTCTGGTTCAGGCCATGGAGCGAGGGGGATTGGGATGCAGTCGCATCCTTCTGCGAAGCATTTATGCTTGCCAAGGAGAAAGCGGAGCGCGTGAGGGAATGAACTTCCTCACGCCCCAGCCGTCGCGGGAGACACTCTGGGCGTCGGAGATCGGCCGGCCACCGGCCACCGTAAGTGCGGGTCTGTAGACGAAGAGCAAGGGTAGCTCGCCACCCGACCAGAACCAGTCCCGTGCATACGGCGCGCGCCTTACAGAGCCATGACACCATCATAGATGGAGCCCAGTAGGGCTGATGCTCGATACGGTGCCGCGGGAGGCCTAACGAGTTGACGGGGCTCCGGCTCGACGAGCAGGAGTAGGAACGGAGTGGATTTTAGTCAGTAAGAATCTGTCACTTCCTCTCACCTAACCCAAGGCGGAGAAGTGATTGGATGATTTTCCGACCTCAAAAAAAATCTCCTTTAGGTAATGACAACCCGATGTGTGAAAAACTACCAAAAAAACTCTTTATATTATTGGTATTGATTACGCTGTGGAAATTATGGACAATAGAGCCAAGGGATGTATTAAGTCTTATAGAGGACATTAATATCAACATTAAAGTACATGTATCATATGTAACTAACCTAATATCAGAATACCTATTTTTCCATTTAAATGTTTGCGATAGTAACGCACGTCGCACCGGTACATATCAGGTCACATTATAGGAGAGAGGAAATCCCAAAATGACGGAAACTATACGCTAAAAAACCAGGACCAAGGACGTTGAAATAAATAGGGGCTCTTACCTTTTAAACCATTGAATCTATTTGGTGAAATTCGGTACAGCGAAAGTTTGAGACCCGGGAAAGGACATCTAAAAGTTTTTAACTCGAAAAACCCACGAAACCGGGAACTGTGCTGTTAAAATCACTATATCTATTTGATTGAAATGCGATACAACATTGATTTGCAAACATAGAATAGTGAAACCTCACGAGACGGGCGGCACTGTACGGGTAAAACCTCTATGGGATTGTTTATTTTAGAAACCACGAAAATAAATTCATTTCTCAATAAATATAACCTAGGTACTGAATCGATTGTGAAGATATTTGTTCCAGTTGTACAGCCATAGAATATACCTTGACAAAGACTAATTTAAAAAACCCAATTTATACAGAAGTAGTTATTTCACGCGAACGAAGTCGCGGGTAACAGCTAGTACTTTTATATTTCTTAAAAAAAATATGAGAAAATACTAAAATTAAGTTGGTCATAAAATCAATTATTGACTGTATGATTATTTTTTCTTAAGGAAAGTATATTATTATAAAAAAAAACAGAAAACATTTTTGATCAGAGGATCGCGAACCAAACTAAACCTTGAATTTACAGTCCGTAGTCAGTAGAATAATAAAAGACGTGTAAAAATAAATGAATATTATATTTACTTTATAATTTACTCTCTACTTTCGTTATTATGCTTCTATGTATATTTACGATGCTTATCAGTCAGCTGTATTTATTATAATGATAAGAACATTTATTATGTCTTCGTTTATCAGTCACTAGAATATGCAGTGAGGTACTATTATCGAATAGATAACAATCTGCGTAGGTAACCAGAATAATTATTCCCGACTTACGATCCTACGTCCCCTAGATGAGGCAGAGGGCGTCCACAGACGTCCTCTCCCTCTTGAGCTTCTCGTTTCACCTCGCTCCACGTAAAAAATAATTATCCTTACTTATTTTTTACTTCAATCCGAATCCGAAAATCTCAGTAGTAACACGGAGTCTGGAATTGTCCCGGTATATAGCAATAGGCTCACCCCCTATTACATGGGACTTATATTATAAATAGTGAAAAGTGGGTGTTACATTGTACAGTGGCATAATGTACACCTCTGCCTACCCTTTGGGGATAAAAGGCGTGATGTTACGTTTACGTTTTTACTTCCTCGTTGGCCGAGTGCGACTACTGGACAAGGGGTCTCGGGTTCAATTCCCGGGTCGGGTAAAGTATATTACTGGATCTTAAAAAAAATCTTAGTAGTAGCACGGAGTCTGGAATTGTGTCCAGTATATGACAATAGGCTCAGCCCCTATTACATGAGACTCGTAACATAGATAGTGAAAAGTGGGTGTTACATACAGCTGCAGTAAGTGCCGTAATATGCACCTCGGCCTACCTCTTCGGGGATATAAGGCGTGATGTGATATGAAGATAATGATATGAAGGATGTTATGTTATGTGCTATTTTTTATTTCAAATTTAATTCATAATTTTACACTTAACATTATTTCCATAAAACTTCCGTCCCTGAATGATTTACTTACTACTATATATGCATAAAAATGTTTTATGCATATTTTTCTCGTTTTGTTTTCTTGACACAATCCACACATTTTTGTAGTTACATGACAAAATCCAGATAAGACAGACACATTAGTCGTATAATGGTGCGATCATCGGAAATGGACAAAATATGTAAATCTATCCTCGTCATAATCATTGTGTATTGTGTTTATAGCGTCTAAAATCACAAAACACTACTAACTCGAGTGTTATTCGTATTACACGAATGGGCCGGCTCGACCGGAGTGATACCACGGCCTCACAGAAAACCGACGTGAAGCAACGCTTGCGTTGTGGTTCGTCGTGTGAGTGAGGTTACAGAAACCCCCCTCCCTCCCCAACAATCCCTTAATTTTCTAATCCGCCGGTAACGCACTTGTAACGCCTCTGGTGCTCCAGTGCCCATGAGCGAAGTCGATTGCTTACCATCAGGTGATCCGCAAGCGCATTTACCGCCTTCTCACATAAAAAATTTTACAAAATAAATAAGACCATCTACACAAGTATAATATTACTATGTGACCTGAAAACATTTTTCAGATGGAGCCACCAGCTGAAAGTGGGGGCTGGTCAAAGTTATTTACACAACCCGGGATCCGAACCCCTGGTGTACGACACGCTGGGCGAGGTTATAGAGCAAACTGTCAACAAGTACCCAGACAGGGTGGCAATCAGATCACTTCATGAAGACATTACCATCACATACGCCGAGTTGTTGAAACAGGTACATTCTGATATCCTATGAATATTGTAAATGCGAAAGTTTGTGAGGTTGTATTGTGTGTGTGTGTGTGTGTGTTACTCTGTCAGATCAAAACTGCTGAAGCGCTCGTGACGAAAGGAACAGGGGTAGGTCTGGAAATACGTGAAGTCCCTGGCATTTACCTGCGGCTTCGCTCGCGTCACAAAAGGATAAAAAGTAGCGTATGTGACATATACCAATACACACAGCGCCATCTATACCAATAATTTCGTTTTCCCTCGAGAATATCAAATTTTTCCGGGATAAAAAGTACCCTATTATTTAATTCAGACTTCTAACTTCACATCTGCAAAAATTCAAAGCAATCGTTTTAGTAGTTACGGCGCGAAAGTGGAACAAACAAACAAACAAACAAACTCACTTTCCGATTTATAATATTAGTAAGGATTTTTTTTGTTTTTCGTGCGGTCAGTCATTGCGACTATAATCAGATTTGTTGTTATTGTTGCTGGGGCTTAGAGAGGTGGAGCCACTGCTCCGACTCCTCTTAGTTATCTAGCACATCCGCCCTCTTGGGTCGTCTAAATTGGTTTGGTTGCAACAGCATAGATGGCAATGGGTTCGGGTGATCTGTTAGACGGTCCCTGTTGTTGAGTATGTATTTATTTCATGCAATATAGTAAGAATTTCCAGGTATTCGTGGATTTCTGAGTTGCGAGCGCACCAGGGTGCCGATGACAGAACCCTTAGGATATTACTTTGAGCTCTTTGTAGGATCATAGTATTGGATTTGCTGGCTATTGACCACAGTTGGATTCCAAAGGTTCAGATTGGTTTTATTATGGAGCAATAAACCCTTAGCTTGTTGGACAAGAAGTAGGAAGTAAGTAAGAGTACAGATTGTCTACCTTTTTTATTCGAGGGGGGGAAAAATTCCAATGACGTCTCCCGCCCAGGTAAGGCGAGAGGAAGTGTTAGACTCTTACCTGACTAAAAACCACCCCTTCCAACTCCTGGAGTTCGAGCAGGAACCCCGGCACCGGCAACCCGTTAAGACCTCCGCGGCTCTGTATCGACATCAGCCCTACTGGGCTCCATCTGCGATGGTCTGATGGCTCTTTGACGCGCGCGCGGAACACGACGCGCCGTACGCTCGGGTCTGGTTCTGGTCGGGCGGCGAGTCACCGCAGGCCCGTGAGATTACCTAGAAGCCAGAGTAGATTTTTGAATCTTAAGTTAATTTCATTGCGTTTCATTTTTACGTACGTATGTGATCTTTCCATGTCGTCCTTCGGTTAAAGGTGAAATCCAAGGTATTGGAACGAGGAGTTTTAAATAAATGCTAAATTTCACGAAAAAACTACTGGACGTACGACAGTCATGATATTAAATTATTTAACATTACATTAATAAAATGAATAGGTGCCTATTGTATGTAGCTTTTGACGCAAGAGTGTTGAAAACAGCTTAAAAACAGCTTGTCAACGATGACAGTTTTAATAATTACCTTGTTTTATTAATTAACTAAATACTTACTTATATCTGTCTGATTCCATTCTCTGTCAGACTAATGTACGTAGATTTATTAATAATGAGTAAATTATTAACCAACTTCATTTAACTTTATTATTAATATTAATCACATAACATAATATCACGCCTTTTATCCCCGAAGGGGTAGGCAGAGGTGCACATTATGCCACTGTACAATGTAACACCCACTTTTCACTATTTATGTTGAGTCCCATGTAATAGGGGGTGAGCCTATTGCCATATACCGGGCACAATTCTAGGCTCCGTGCTACTACTTTTTTTTTTTTTTTTTTTTTTTTTATATGACGTGACCTCATACGGCAACGTCATAAAAATTACAATCTAGCTTTAATGCTAATAAGTAATTCAATTTTGTCTTAATTTGCTAGGAAAGTATAACTAAGAATGTGTCCATTAACACTTTTCTTATTGTCTCTATTAAGGGGAAGACACTTTGTTATTGTGTTCTGTTCCGGTAGCACTCACTACTTTACACTAACACTTCACTATGTTAACTCAAAAGGTTTTGTCCTTTTTAGCCTTCTCACTATGTCCGTGTTGTCGAGGAGCTGGATAGCCTCGATGTTCACATGGTGGTGAAGCCTTCGTTCATGGGCTTCTGCACACTTTTTAATTATATCTACGACGAGGTCTACTTTGAGGTCCCGATGAAGGTCGTCATTTCGAATGTACCAGGGCGCATTGACGATTCCTCTGAGTACTTTGTTTTGAAAACGCTGTATAATTTCGATATTGCTTTGTTTGGTACAGCCCCAAAGCTGAATACCATAAGTCCATACAGGCATGAGGACTTGTTTATATAAAAGAACTTTGTTGTGCACTGACAGCGAAGAATTTTTTCCTATCAGCCAGTACATTGACTTGTAGCGTAGATCTAGCTCGTCGCGTTTCTTTTTGACATGAGCTTTCCAGCGAAGCTTTACATCTAATGTCATGCCTAGGTATTTGGCTGTATTTTCGTATGGTATTACATGGCCATTTATGTTTACCGGGTGGTAATTTGTCCTTTTGTTTGTGAAGTCTATGTGAACAGATTTTGATTCATTTAGTTTCACACGCCATTTTTTTGTCCAGTCAAAAATGATATTGACGGCTGTTTGAACTTTTTCCACTGCTTCTTCTTGAGTGGCACCTGTGGCCATAATAGCTGTGTCGTCTGCAAATGTGGCAATGGTATTGTTTTCTAATTCAGGAATATCGCAAGTGTACAATAAGTACAAGACGGGACCTAGGACGCTTCCTTGCGGTACTCCAGCTTTTATCGGTTTGAGTCCTGAATATGCATCATCATGTCTTACTCTAAACATACGCTGTGATAGATAAGACTCTAAGATGTCAGCAAATTGCTTAGGGAGCATGTTTTTTAATTTGTAAATAAGGCCTTTGTGCCATACCTTGTCGAATGCTTGCGCTACATCCAGGAAGATCGTGGAGCAAACTTTTTTTTCTTCTAGAGCCTTTTCAATAATGTTGGTAATCCTGTGTACTTGATCTATAGTCGAATGTTTTTCCCTAAAACCAAATTGGTAGTCAGGGATCAAATTTCTTTCTTCTATGATGGGTTTTAGTCTTTTTAAAAGAAGCTTTTCAAATAATTTTGACATTATCGGTAGCAGCGAGATCGGCCTATACGATGTTGTTTCGTGAGGTGGTTTACCAGGTTTTGGTATCATTATAACTTCGGCAACTTTCCACTGATCAGGTACATACTTAAGTCTTAACGTTGCATTGATATGAGTCGTAACTTTTACGATGGCTTTACGTGGGAGGTTTTTAAGAACTTCTGCAGTAATAAGATCGTAACCAGGTGATTTCTTTAGTCTAAGGCGCTTGATTTCGTTGTACACTTCTCTAGGTGTTACGAATTTTATTTCTTGCTCATCATTATTTGTTGTTTCATTTAATAAGTCGCTATCTTCATGCTCTTCATTTGGCTCAAAAATGAGTTCTAGGTGTTTTGCAAACCTTATAGCTTTTTGCTCGTTGCTTATTGCCCACCGCTCGTTAATATCTTTGATAGGGGGAATATGCAGAATTGGCTTTTTTAAGCTTTTTATAGATTTCCACAGAGAGTAATCTGTCGTGCGATGGCTGGTTAGTTGTTGTAGATAACTATTCATTGATTCGTCTTTGTAATTCTGAATTGCTTCACTTAGTTGTTTTGTAAGGTTGTTCAGAATTCTTTTATCTTGTGGATATCTTGTCTGATGCCATATTCGTCTCTGTCGCCTCTTTTCAGCTATAAGTTTTGTGATTTCTGCTGGATAGTAGGTAATTCGTTTTTTATTTTGTTTTTGGTGGGCGTGTTTTTCCAGGCGCATTGTTGTATTTGTGTTATAAACTCACTGATATCCCGGTCCAGATCTTCTGGTTTCTTGAGTGGGACTCTTAAATCTATCATAGACTCCAAATCCATTTTAAAGCTTTCCCAATCAGTGTTCTTGTTTACCAATGTGGGGTTGTATTCTTTCAGCAAAATAGTCTCACTTAGAGTAAGTAATATAGGTGAGTGGTCTGAACTCATATCATAACCTTCTTCAATGCGAAGAAGACTGGGTGATATATTTTTGTATATAAAAAAGTCTATAAGATCAGGAATCTTTTTTGTATCAGTAGGCCAATAAGTGGGCTTGCCTGTTGATAAAGTTTTACCTTGTGTTTCTTCAATGGCGCACAGTAGCTCTCTGCCTTTGGTCGTTGTCAGTCGAGATCCCCAAAATGTATTTTTAGCATTAAAGTCACCTCCCAATATGAATCTGTTTCCAAGACAGTTAAGAAAAGACATGTACTGATCTGTTTTTAGTGAATACCTAGGTGGACAGTATATGGCTGAGATGGTGACAAGACAGAATTTTGTTTTGACACAGACAGCCACTGCTTGTATTTCTTCTTTTTCATGTTTCAGTTTTTCGTAGTGAAAAATATTCTCTTTTATGATGACAGCACTACCACCTCTTGGTGTGTTATGAGGATGCAGTGCATGATATACTTTATACCCTTTAATTTGGATATGAGATTCTTTAGTGAAATGTGACTCTGATATAAGGCACACATCAATTCTTTCCATATTTAGGACTGCCGTAAGTTCATTCTGATGTTTCAGCAGTCCATTTGCGTTCCATGCCATAATTCTAAGTAAACTAGCCATGAATACTGCTTTTTTGTTGTTTGGCAGCTGTTTTAGTGCTGCTTTCAAGTTTTTTCAGCCTTTCGTCGAATGTAGTTAAAAGATTTATAATTGTATTAATCTTTTCATCCATGTTAGGGTTTATAGGTTTCATATGAGATTGTGGCAAAGATTGGACTCCTTTTGCCATTTGTGCATACGAAACACTTTTAGTGACAAGGTTGGTGACACTAGGTATTTGTGTTTGGTTGTACTTGGACCCTGAGAGTTTGGTATCGGCTCATGCTTTTTTGTATTTTTATTTTTAATATTTTGTAGCTCTTTAGCTACTATGCATCCTCTATAGTTAGCCGGGTGGGGCTCACCACAGTGAACACATTTCGGTTTTGCTTCTGCAGGTTTATTGCAGTCTCTGGTTAGGTGCTTGCCTGTACACTTCACACATCGGGGTTCTTTGGAACAGTATTTCTGTGTATGGCCATATGCTTGACACCTTTTGCATTGTGGAATTAATTTGAAGTTTTTAAAGGCTGTATATCTACTTTACAGCCCAGTATGGATTTGATTCCGTAGATTTTCTTTATGTCTTCATCCTTTTGGAATGAGAGCATGAACATACTGAGGGGCTCTTTGCTCTTCCAACTCAGTTTGTTAACAGCATCTTCTATTTTAAATCCTTGAGCTGTCAGATCTTCAATTATTCTATTTGGCAGGCAGGAAGAATGAAGGTTTTTTGCCATCACCCTGATCGGCCTATCTTGTTTATTCTCATACGAGTACCAACAGCAATTATTCTGTAACAATAGCTTGGTGATGGATCTGTATGAGTCATCATTTTTGGAGTTAATTTTAACTTTTTCTCCATTCATCATTTTCGTAACGAAAGAGTCTTTCGTAACATTAGTTGAAAGAAGGTCGTAGAACTCTTGGTAGTTCTTGACATTTTCCACAACTATAGGTGGTGGTGTGGGCTGTTTTTTTATTTTGGCTTCTTTAGTTTTCTGGTAGGATCGTCTCCTTGTTGAGTTGGTGAGGACAGTGATGACGAGTTCAATTTCCTTTTTTTTCTGCTCTTCTGTCGTACCCACTCTGTTTCCTTTGCTAGTTCTTCTTCGTCTGTCTCATATTCGATTGGCATTGGCTTCTCGGTAGTGACATTTTTCTTGTCTGAAGTTTTTTGCTCCTGGATGGTTTTAAGCTGATGCTGTAGTTGTTCTAATTGACTTTTGAGGTCATTTACTAAGCTTTGCAGCTTTTCGCGTTCTAACTTTTCTTCGGTATAATATTTATACAACAGATGTTCCGTGTCAGTTTTGATTTTAATTGAGGATGACGAAGCCATGATTATTAGAATAACTTCGCCTTAACACTTTGTTTATACAAATAATTGTGCAACACTTTCGGTAACTGGGTCATCGCGGCGACCGCGCACGGCTAGAGGTAATGAATGGTAGGCTGCTGCGTCAGCGCTACACTTGAACATAATCTAGCACGAGAGTGTGTGCGACGCGACTGTTCTTAGCGGAAGTCGATCGATCACTCGAGTGCTAGTAGTGGCCGAGTATTCGCAAGTGCGACTGCCAGGCAAGGCGTCTCGGATTCCAGGCTGGGCAAAGTATCACTAGGCTTTTTAAAACAAATTTTTAAAATTGTGCCCACTATGTGGCAAGAGCCTTACCCCCTATTACATGGGACTCATAACATAAATAGTGAAAAGTGGGTGTTATACTGTACAGTGGCATTAATTACCGTATTGTGCACCTCTGCCTACCCCTAGGGGAAAAAGGCGTGATGTTATGTTATGTAAAGTTATGTTATTAAAATACTTCTAAGTCTATGATTTTAATACGACTGAGTATACTTAGTAAAGTACATTGTAACCTACATGAAGTCAAGATTATAAGCATTAATTTGTTTTTCATTTATTCTATTTGCTATTCTTTAAAATTACCCAGAGATCAAGATGAGAATCAAGTTTAATAACATCGTGCAAAAATTTACTAAACTTGATGCTCACGAAAAATTACGAAAAATAATCGATTTCTAAATATAAAAAGTATCTATCTAAGAATGTGTTTATGCTACTTCCAGGCGGACTCCTTAGGCTGTGCTCTCCGCGCTCAAGGCCTACAGAAGGGCGATACTGTAGGGGTGTGGTCACACAATAGTGCAGCCTGGATCGTCGCTGTGGTCGCCGCTGCTAGAGCCGGCCTTATTTCCGTAAGCTTAAATCAACTCATCTAAGGCTGGTTTTACAGCATATTTTATTTAATTTCAAACGAATTTTATGTTATTTTAAGTCATTACAATTTATTACAAACGAACTGACTACTATTGTTTGTTACAATTTTATTACAATACTCTTTATTAGTACCTACTACTAGAAGGTTGCGATTTTAATTTATTATTTTATCTTTATCATATCAACATTTTACATCGGTATATGGCAATAGGGTCACCCCTGTGGGTCACCCCCTATTACATGGGACTCATAATATAAATAGTGAAAAATAGGTGTTAAATTGTACAGGGCCTTTAAGTGCCGTAATGTGCACCTCCGCCTGCCTATGTACTTCGCGGATAAAAGGCATGATATTATGTTATGTTCATATCGAGATTTCACCTGCCATCTAATATAGATATTTTGATTAAAAGTTACCACTCTAATTGACCTTCCAGGTATTAATAAATCCAGCATATGAAAAGAAAGAACTAAGTTTCTGCATAAAGAAGGCTGGAATGAAGAGTTTACTCATAGGAGACGCGCTACCAAGGAGGAATTACTACGAGACATTATCACAACTGATACCAGAGCTACAAAATAGTGGTCCAGGCTCTTGGAAGTCCAGCGAATTCCCAACTTTGAACTCTGTTATTAATGCTGGAAAGAATAAATTGGCGTAAGTGCCATTAACTAAATCTTTATTATAAGTGTATTTTAGATCAATGAATAATAATTATGTTATTTTTCGATCATGAAGCCGTAGTTTATAACTTATTTTTAATTTTTATTGTTATTATTTTATGACAAAAAGTATCTATTAACGAGTTAATATTTCACGATTTCAATATCTATAAATTATTACCTACCTACCTCTAATCTCGAAGGACGAAGCAACGAATGTATTATTAGTGATTAAGGTATCTTATAGAACATCATATAGGAATAGGAAGTAAAGGTACTTCTTGAGAGGATAATGTCACATGTTATAAACTGAACGTTAAAATTTCAAAATAATACTATAATTTATTTATTTATTATGAACAGTATACATATTATACATCATAATATTAAGAGGAAGATAAAAGAAAATCTGTAGCAAAAGCATACAAAATAAATTATTATTTCACATTATGTGTCTCCAAATTGGGCGTTACACTCTTTACTTGCTATATCATATTTTTATGTAAATTCATGATTAAAAAACTATTTTCAATTATCAACAGAGGCACCATACAGTATGATTCCTTATTGACGGGCTCAGGCAGCCAGATCTCCCAATATGGCGGCGAGGTGAAGTCGAGCGACGGTAGCATCATACATTTCACATCGGGCACCACTGGTGAGGTTTAGAGGTACTTACTGTGATAGTGCCTTGGTTAACAAGATTTTAGTAAACCTAATACTGTACTCGACCACTGGAGAAAGGATAGCAGAATTAATTTTGTGTGTCGCGGTGTCTTAACCGCGATGCCTAAATCACTTGTCGTGGATGACCTAACGGGTTTTTTTAATGGGGGAAAATCATCAAATGGCTTCTCCCGCCTGGGTGAGGTGGAAGGGAGTGTTAGACTCTTACTGACTAAAACCACACCGTTCCTACTCCTGCACTTCGAGCCGGAGCCCCGATAACCCGTTAGGTTCTCTACGTGTGACCTAGCGGGTTACAGGGACTATAGGTCAAAGCAGTAGTAGAAACGGGTGGTTTTTAGTCAATAAGAGTCTGACACTTCCTCTCCCCTCCCTCACCCAAGACGGGACAAACCAGTTGGGATTATTTTCCCAATTCAAAAAAATAATATATAAGAACAGTGTAGGTTGTTGTCGTAAGGTAAATACTCTCAAGGAAGATAATAAATAATAAAGATGATGGACAAGCTAGTAACTAACATATTATTCTGAGTCCAACGAAGAGCCATTGGGGGTTTCCGATTGTAATGAACTCATTAACCAAACTATCTTGTGTTTCAGGGGACCCAAAAGCAGCTCTAGACTCTCATCTAGGCGTAGTGAACAACACATATTTTGTAGGCAAGAGAAACTTGTTAGATGAAGGACATCACACTATCTGTGTACAGGTAAATAATACATTTATTGAAGGTGATTAAAATCAAAGCATTTATTTTAAGGGTCAAATGGTTACAAAGTTACAAATGTGACTCGATGTTATTGGAGATTTTCGTCCAAAATTGTCAGCACCCACAGTGTTTGTGAGTAAGATCGCCTCCGTTGAATGATGGAACTTTTGACCGGCCAAGAGTAGTAAGTAAATTAAGAGGGATTTAAGGTATGGTGTTTATATGTTTTTATTTATGGGTTAAGCCGGTAAACGAGCCTACAGATCACCTGATAGTAAGCAATCAGCGTCACCCATCGACACCTGGAACACCAGAGGCATTACAAATACGTTACCGGCCTTTTGGTGTTTAGGAATTTGAGGATTGTTGGATTCAGGGATTGAGGAGATTGGGTAAGGGGGGCGCGGGTTTATTGGGCCTCCGGTAACCTCACTCACACGACGAAACACAACGCATGCATTGCTTCACGTCGGTTTTCTGTGAGGCAGTGGTATGACTCCGGTCGAGACGACCCATTCGTGCCGAAGCATGACTCTCCCACACTTAATGACAAGAATTCAATGACGTTGTTTCCAGGTACCTCTATTCCACGCTCTCGGTTCTATAGTAACAATCCTGGGCGGTTTGAGGCTCGGCAGTTCATTAGTATTGGCTGGCCCCATCTACAATGTTGATGATAATATCAAAGCTTTGTTTGCGGAAAAGTAAGTACCTACTCTCCTTTTGCCTAGCATAAATATCACTGACCAGAAACTGTAATTTTCAAGGTAATTTCTGAAACAATAGCTTAGTTAACACCCATTATGTGGTGGTTTAGTTTCATGTTTGGTAAGATACTATAGACTGCTCTACCAGTTGACTGCATGATATTATGTCATCTCGTCATTGTCTGTCGCACACGCTGCTCATAACTGTGTGTCTCAAATTTAAAATTAATAGAGATAATAATAATATCATTGACGAAGTATTTCTACCTTTTCGTAATTTTTCCAATTTTAAACATCTGTTAAAGATAAAATCAATTCCTATCTTTCAGGTGCTCTGTGATAATGGGTACTCCGACCATGTATGTGGACATGCTGGCAAAGATTAGGACGATGAGTGATGTTCCGTCCACGCTGAAAGTGGCGCTGGCAGCTGGAGCACCGTGCAGTCCACAGCTCATTAGAGACATGCAGAAGTATCTTAAGACTGAAACTGTGAAGGTAGTTAGGTTATAACTTAGAAAATAATAATTATTATTTTATAAACTCCTTTAAAAAAACGGTTAAACACTCTTTTTTGGGAGTCGGTTAATAAAATTTATTTAAACCTTCTCCTAAGTGTAACAAACACTTTTCTGAAAACTGCATGAAATTGGTTCTGTCAGTCGCGAGATAATCGCATACAAACATTGTATACAATTATACATAGAGGTCAAATTGAGAACCTACTCCTTTTTTGAGGATAATTAAAAATATGAGTTATTATTGTACATAGATCGATGGCCAATATTGCACTTCATAATCTTTATGGGTGATACAAAACTTTACTGTAGTTATACTTACAGATGTGTTTATTTACAAGGTGTAAATTTAAGAAAGAACAGACGAAAACAAGTACTTATAAAGGTCACCCAGCCATTGAACGTACTGGGCAGTGGTGCATTTTTTATACTAAATCTTCTATTTTAGTTATCCAGTACTTACTAACTTCGTTTCTTTCCAGGGTCTGTACGGTATGACAGAGACTACATCGTGTGTGTTCCAGAGCATCCCAGGTGATAGTATCGACGTGGTAGCCGAAACTGTTGGCTACATTCAGGATCACGTGGAAGTCAAGGTAGTTATTCACATCAAATATCTAAAGGAGCTGTTCACACATCATCTATCACATTACCTGTAAAATTCTGTCCCCCAAAGATTAGCAACGCACTTGTATGTCCAATGGTGTTGCAATTGGGATGATGGCAGGGTTTGAAATTAAAAATCTAATTAGTCCGTATGTTAGGTAATGAAAACATTTTTAGACACGTATTTTTTTGTTTTGTCGTATAATAAAACAATACTTAGATATAACGAATCAAAGTTTAGGAATGGGGGCTAAAACGTCATTTCTACGTATAAAATGTACATAGAAGTTACGTCACGCGACATATCAATTCAATATATCGTCGAAAGTATTCGTTTCTGTAAGAAAATAAAAAATACGTGTCTAATGATTTAAAATAATCTACCCTATTGTCCACGGGCTACGATTATCGCTTACCATCAGGTGATGTGTCTGCTCGTTTGATATCTAACATATGTTAATCAAAATCTAAAGGTTTGATTGACTTATTAATGACAGCATGGTTGGCCTGGGGGCTGGGTAACTGGTTACTGCTTAACGTGAGTGGGTTCGATTCCCGCACGGAGCCACTCTTTGTGTATTCCACAAATTGTTAATCCTGGGTGTGATGTGTATTGTGAACTTGTATGTTTGTAAACACACTCACAACACAGGAGACAATCCTAGTGAGTAACGTATTAAAAAAATGATATTTATCATTATTGTTTTTATAAAATAATTCAGAATTAAATAATGATTATTTATTACACTTATACTTATTCCGTGTTTCAAACCTACAGGTTGTTGACGAGAAAGGTGACACAGTGCCATTCGGTAGTCCAGGAGAACTGGTGGTGCGCGGGTATAACATCATGATCGGCTACTGGGACGACCCCGTAAAGACCAGGCAGGCGCTTAGTGATGATGGCTGGCTTAACACCGGGTAATGGATTATAAACAATATCCCTTTATAGTGCGTGACGTCGATTGACACCAAATTTATGGCCTGTCATAAACAAAAGAATAAAACATAAAACATAAAACTTTAGAAATAAAATTCAAGTATTATCATCAACAGCCTATAAATGCCCAGTGCTGAGCAAAGCCTCTTCTCACACGAAGAAGGTTTTAAGCATTAATCGCCACGCTTGCTCAATACAAGTTGGCGATTTCAAACTTATAATTAGAAATTATAAGCCCAGGTTTCCTCACGATTTTTTTGCCTTCACCGATTGTCAGTGGTGTCTAGATAATCTTAGAAAGTGCATGTAACTCGGAAAAAGTCACATTGGTACTTGCCGGTGCTAGGTTTCGAACCCGCACCTCCATGCATGAGAATCGGGCTTCTTAAACCACCGGGCCACCACGACAAAGTAAAGTAATTTAAAGCGATTGTATATTTTAAAAATTCCAGAGACAAGTTTACGATCAGCGAAGATGGTTATGGCCGCATTGTGGGCCGCCTAAAGGACATTATCGTTCGAGGTGGAGAGAATATCGCTCCTAAAGAAATTGAAGATTTGCTGATCACACACCCTGATATTGATGACTGCCAGGTAACTAATGCAATGATCATCGACTAGAAGACTGAAGAAAGATCTCCCCTATGAGTTCATGGCCATAGTGGTTAAGTTTGATTGACGACTTGACGGGGTTAGACATAATCCCCAAGCTTTGTAGACGGGTTAGAAAAAGTTTGTTGGGCCCTTGGCGAAATGGCGATATATAGCTGATGAACTTACTTTGATCGGGCCTATATAAAAAAATATAATACTATTTAAGATATAAATACTCATGGGGAGTAAGCTTATATCATTTTCTTGTGTAATGAAAATATTAGAAACCAGCTTCTGCCAGCGACTTCGCCCGCGTTCCTAGGGGTAAATAGTAGCTGCCCAAAATCTACGTCTGTTCCAAATTTCATTCTTTCCCTTCAGGCGTTTTGATGTGACTGATTATCAAACATACACACAATCTCACATATTTTCATAATATCGGTTCAAGCTAATCTCAACCATCGGCCCTTTACAGTATTAAGTAGATTGCTATTGTTTCTTATCAGGCGTTATTTTTATGATAAAAAAAATATCTGCGTGTGATATTTTAAGTTTTCCATTGTTAAATACTCTTAACCGGCAAATGTAATGAGTTATTCCGTCCCTCGCTTTGGTATACGTCCCGGCATGATTCGTAGGAGTCTCCAGTTAATGACAACAACTCAATGACGGTTTATGATCCAATTATGATTCATTTCAGTTGTCGTGTTATAAAATGTTATTGATTGAATATGTTTTCTTTGTTGGTTTTGTATTTGGTACTAAAACGAATGTCTGATGGATACATACAGTAGTTACTTACTGGGTTCTGTTTACCACTAACTAAAACTTAAGAGCCTTCAATCAACGTCCGAGTCGCCTCACCGGCCCCGTATGGGGCAAGGATGTGAAAATTGTGAAATCCAGGCATATGCCTGTTTCGGCGGGTTTTTTTCGCTTAGTATCCCATAAAACTTATCCTGTACTGACGTTCTATTAGAGTTTTAGAGATAAGAACTGCCATTGGGAAAAGAATATAACAATAACCACCAACTTCATCTATCTTATCAATGGAAAGTTCAAAATACCACATATGATGTATTTTCATTTAGATATACATACAGAGATGTATAACAATTTAAAATAGATAGCGCCTGAAAAATTATACCAGTAATACTTACAACCTATTATTTATCTTGGTTGGATTTTTTTAAGGGGGGAAAATCATCGAATGACTGCTTTCGCCTAGGTGAGGCGGGAGGGAATGTCAGACACTTACTGACTAAAAACCACCCCGTTCCTTCTCCTGCACTTCGAGCCGGAGCCCCGGTAACCCGTTAAGTTCTCCGCGACTCCGAATCAGCCCTATTGATCCCCATCCGTGGTGGTCTGATGGCTCTTTGAGGCGCGCGCATTTCCGTTGGGTTACGATTGATAGACTTGGTGTTTTTGCTATTGATTCCTTGTATTGTCTAATCACAATAGATTTAATTTCTAGCGAAAGACAAAAGTTAATCATACCGATAGTTTGCAATGGCCTTTACATCCGCATCATACTCAAGTCAGAGCAATAAAATCTTATGCTTTAGAATGCACGGTTGCACGGACTGCACGGCAACTGGATGCCGCGCAACGTGTCGCGGGTTCGATTCCTGCACGGAACAACTCTTTGCGTGATCCACAGATAGTAGTTCCGGGTCCAGACCCGGTGTGTGTATTTGAACTTGTATGTTTGTAAACGACACAAGAGAAAATCCCAGTATGGGGCACTAAAAAAAACAAAACAAATGACAAGCATCATCTTATTATTGTCACCAGGTCATAGGCATCCCAGACGAGAGGCTAGGTGAGGAGTTATGCGCAGTACTTCGCATCAGAGAAGGTGCTTCAGTAACAGTAGACGATGTCAGACGTCACTGTGATGGTCACATCGCCCGGTTCAAGATCCCCAGGGTGCTGAAGACGATTGAAGAGTTCCCCAAGACAGCGTCCGGGAAAATACAAAAGTATCGACTAAAAGAAATGGTTGAGACTGGAAAATTGTAGTTATTCTAATAAAATGTTTATTTATTTTCGTACTTATTTCTTAGTGTTATTTATTTATTATGTACAAGTTCTACGTTTATTTTTTCTCTAAGGATTCATGCAACATAGTCTCATCATTTGCCATCAGAAACCAAGTCGGAGTCCACAATTAAGTTAATATTTATAATCCGATAAAGTGTCTCGTTGTGCGAGTGATCGCAGCTGCGACTGCGACAAGGGGTCTCGGGTTAAATTATACAATACTAATATTCGGCCATTCGGTCGGGCAAAGTATTTGGGGTTTTTAAAAATCCTCAGTAGTAGCACGGAGTTTAGAAATATGCCCGGTATATGGCAATTGGCTCACCCCCTATTACGTGGGACTCATAACATAAATAGTAAAAAGTGAGTGTTAATTGTACAGTGGCATTAAGTGCCGTAATGTGGACCTCTGCCTACCGTTTCGGGCTAATATGCGTGATGTTATGTTAAATTAAAACTTAACAGTGGAGAACCGGAAGCTTTTTTATCATTTTGATATTAAAATTCACGTATTCATTATAAAATGGAATTCCATGAGAAAATCGTGTTATTTTAATTGGATACACAATACATAAGAATGATAACATCAAGTTTATACAATGTCTCATGCATACGTTTGTAACAAAATCGTGCACATTTTTTAAGTAGCCTACCTACTTCGAAAAAGATATACTAACTTTTGTTTAATAATGATACAGTGGAGGGCACAAACAGTTCATATTGTCCCCATAGTGCTCTCAACCACCGGTATCATACCTAAATCCTTCACACAAAGCCTCAACACTCTCCTACAGACACTATCCATACACTCCAAAAAGCAACCATCCTCAACACTTGCCGTATCACAAGAAAGTTCTTAACATCATCTACTTTATCATCCACTTATTCTATACTAGCTTCTGCCAGCGGCTTCGCTAAGCTATCGGGAGTTTCACGTGTTATTGTGAGTCAACCATAAAAGATAGACATATGCTGTCGAGGAATATTTTTTATATAATTTTAAGGAGAATATTTCCGTCATACATGATTTCTATGCAGCTTTAACCTATAAGCCTGCACACGCGACGGAAGTTTAAAAAATGGAGTAACTTCTCCCGTTTTCCCAATATTTCCCTTCACTGCTCTGCTCCTATTGATCGTAGCGTAATGAAAAGTATACTATAACCTGCCCAAGAGTATGAAGAATAATTGTGCCAAATTTCGTTAAAATCCATCGAGTAGTTTTTGTTTCCATAACGAACATACAGGCAGACAGACAGACAGACAAAAATTTTACTGATTGCATTTTTGGCATCAGTAGCGATCCCTAACCATCCCTTGATAGTTATTTTTTAAATATATTTTATGTACAGAATTTACGTCTCTACAGATTTATTATAAGTATAGATAGATAAACTTCCCCTTATACACTTAGCTCCGGCCCGTGTATAAGGTATATAAGGTTCTTAAACTCTCTTACGACAAGGAAATAAAAATATCTTTGAAAATAATACAAAACCTTTTGAACTAATAATAATGAATGTTGACTTTTAAACAAGAAATCAAGTATGAAAACATAAAATGCATGCCTTGGATATTGACATTTCAGAGATAACAATCGATGATCTATATTTTTTGTTCTGCTTATTATATCGCAGGGTTTCTGTTAAATGCATGTGCCGATTGTAACGTTTAATAATATATGAACTTACAACAAGCTACCTTAAACTGTCTAACACCAAGCGGTCACCGGTGACCGCAACCTATTGTTCTTTAATTATGTCTATAAATACGGTACTCGACGAGTTAAATAGTATTTTTATTATAAAAAATAGTAAAATCCAAGACTAATAAGAATTGACTGTTTCAGCTGACAGCGCTGTTTTTAATACAATTACGTGTATTTTCATATCATATAAGTTAATGTTCGGATCTATATTTGTTACTTAATCTCCTCGGATCTGGACAAAAGTTAACAACTTTATCATTATGACGTAGGTTTATTTTAGGTAATAATTATAACGTAGGTGAAGTTATAATTATTACCTAAAATAACACATAGGATACTTTCGATCTCAGTAAAACAGGTATAACGGTGTGTCGTCAGCGTAGCGACCACGCTGACGCCGATCTGGAATCCGGTGCGCAGCACCTAGTCACACCTAGAACTTCGGCTAGTTCCACAGGAGCGGTCCCAGGACCGAACCCTGTGGAATACCACGCAACATCTCATGCCACTCCATTCATCTTATAAGTCCCTTACCGAAGCTAGAAAGAAGTTAATGAAAGAAGCGATTATACTTAATGAAGACGTATTAGGACTATTAATAAAAGAATCAATTGTACTACAGATGTGGCGTGAGGAATGTATAAACGGAATGTACTTAAAGGTCGATTTTGTAACCCAGTAACTGATAAGAGTAAGACCATATCAATAGCGTAGGTACCAAATACTCATAACGTTTTACGGCAGTCGTAGTTTGCGATAGTGTAGAAAATGTTCCTGCAAATTTTACTCTCGATTTGCACTTTCGTTATCGGTTTACATCTATACTTTCGATATAGGTACAGCGGTAGATTAATCAACAAAATTAATGGACCGAAGCAAACGTTCTTGTTTGGGAACCTTTTTGATATTTTTATCAGTCCCGGTAAGTGGAACACAATTGTACATCTACACTAATATTTTAAAGAGGAAAGATTTGTACCTATTTTTGTATGTTTGTATGTTTGTAATGAATAGGCTCAAAAAGAACTGGGCCGATTTAAAAATTTCTTTCACCAATAGAATGCTACATTCTTCCAATTTGACATAGGCTACTTACATTTAATTTCGAAAAAAATTAGGAATCCTTGGTAAAATTTGAACAATGTAACCGAAGGTGTAGAAAAATTAGTTTTAAAATGTCTTACGTCGAATGCGCTGCCGAAACTATTAGCGGCAGAACCAAAATAATGTACAACAATATTGAAGAACATCATATTATGGTCTACAAAAAACTCTGCGGTAGCATATGTCCAACTAGTTGTAGTTATGTCACTACAACAATCCAAATTTCCAAAAACAAATAATTGTCTACCCCGTGCGAAGCCGGGCCGGGCTGATAGTTTATAATAATTATTTTTTGTTAATTTGTGTTCTGTGTTTGAGTTTTAGGTAGTAGGTACAGGTGCTCTTTTAGTTGTTTTTTTGTTATGTACATAAACGTATGTATGTACTACAATTTTGCTAAGTAACGCACTGTGTGTTCATATAGGTACCTACTTAAGTGCCAAAACATAGGTACATAATTTTTCTCTTTTTCTAGCCTTTTTAAAATATTTACCAGTGGGTTCAGAGTACTACCTACTAGTTTATAATCTTCAGTTAAAACAGTATTCACTGTAAGATATAGCTAAGTACATTTTTAACCTGAAGAAGAGGATTATAAAATGCTAAACAACTTACAATTCGATTTATAAAAAATCTAGTAGATTCAAATAAATAAGCAAATTTTACAGTTCTATAACTAAATTGCTTATATAAACATGACATCGCGTCTCAAACTTGACCCTGTTACGGAGTACGAACAGACAAGCTATACATGTACCTACTTATCTATTTAAACAATTTGGTGTCTTCTTGTCTTATCATATTCGAAGTTAATTAAGCATGTAATGTATGAGTATTTATGTTTATTAATTACGTGGATAATATCTAGGAATTAAAATTATGCAGTTTAATTACGTACCTACTTAATCGCATCGAAGTATAGATTTTCATAGATATCACTTGTTACCTTTCTATGAAACAATATCACTTTTTGTTTTTATAAAAAGGAGCACCGTTTCTTAAAAATAGAAAGAACCTGATGTTATTTTTTCAAGTAACACAATTGGGTACTTGCCTACTAGTCAAATTAAATACTTTTTTCGAACTGTCAAAAACGACAGTTTTCTATGAATTTTGAACGAGATTGTGTATTGTGACGTCACGTTTTTTAGCGTCAAACAGCATACTCATTTTTTTTTAATTTGCTGGAAAAATATTAAAATGAAGTTGATCATAAAATCAGTTCATGAAAGTGTGATTATTTTTTTTAATTTTATTGTATTGAACAGTCGAAATAATTTATTTTTGATTACGGAAAGTACCCAATGGTGGGCTACTAATAGTGAGAATTGTGAAAAAGGGAAACCTAGTAATGACTTTTACCAATCATAGTGAAAAAAGTCACTGGGCAATCGGCAGCTGCGGAACGTGTAGCGAGTATGATTCCCGCACGGATCAATTCTTTGTGTGATCCGCAAATGATTGACACCTACACACGTGTGTAGGTATGAGACATTGTATGTTTGTAAACGCACCCACGACACAGAATAAAATCTTAGTTAATCTTAATCCGTGGGGCAACGTTTTTGTTCGTTTCAAACAGAACTATTTCGTATTTTCCTCATCACTTAATTATTTTTATTTATTATACTACCTGGACCAACAGGTTGGTTGATTAGGAAGGTTGTCTAAAAATTAGTCATTCTAAACTGGTGTATACAAAGGTCACAAATCACATTCCTACAAACAAAAAGTGTTTTAATACTAAGTTACGAGTTATCATTTTATGTCCAAAATGATACATCCGATTAGGCCATACAAATATCATGATTGTACCTATCTACTAACTTTGTATCTATTAGGCTTTTTTAGCAGAAATAACGAAGAATTCCTGTTATTTCTCAGAGATCGAGCGATCGAGATGATTTCATCCTACCCGGGCTACTCATCCTAATAAATAATTTCCTAAATACGCAAAGCTTATATAGACAACCATTTAACCAGAAATCAAAAACATTTCTGCATTTTTACCTACACCTATTTGAATTGTGCTGCGGTATACATATAGCTAGTTAGTTAGGTATATAACTAGTTTGAACCTAAAGCAAGTTTAAAGAATTATACGGTTTCCTCATTAAAAAATATAGTTAGCTTCAATTAAGTTGACTAACCTTGATGAATTGAAATGCAATTTTACGTACATAGTCGTTTGTACTGGACAAACGACTCTGTACGTAAAATTGCATAAAAAAGACAATCGAGTTATTCTCCTCGCGTCGGTATCCTCATTACTGAAGGTCATAATTCCCTATATGTGGAATGATTTTCTTTATCACAGTTGCTCGCCACCTGTTTCTATCCTTAACCGAATGGATAGCACCTTGTGGGCTGCTGTCCAAGGTTATTCGAATATCATCCGTTCATATGATTGGACTTTTTGTGATGAGGGGAACCCTTTAAAAGGCACCTGCCGATAGAATAAGGAGTGTGGAATTCGTACCTCATCAAAATCACGCCTGTAACTACTATTTTTACCTATAGGGAGCACCGGGTCCTCTAGTAGACCTACCCCGAAGTCCCCACGGTGCAACGCCTGGTACCGGACGTCCCTAGAGAGACATGTGTCTCCCTTAAGCCATTGATTGGGCTATGACCTCTTGGTCTTTAACCGTCCACCTTACCAGTAACCATACATTGGTCCAGACAGTGCCAGTATATTCCTAGTATGATAAACCGTCTTTTTTTTTCAGAAATCCTGTTCCACAAGCAAATAGAATGGCGTCAAAAATATGGCCCTACTTGGAAACTGTCTGCTTTTAACTACAGGTCTGTGTATATTTACAAACCTGAGGACATTGAGGTCAGCATATATTATACTACTTTTGTCAACGTCGATGCCTTTTTAATTAAACTGTCAAACACCAAGCGGTCACCGGTGACCGCGACCTATTGTTCTTTAATTGTGTCTATAAAACCGGTATTCGACGAGTTAAAATCAAAAGTAACTTCAATCTGTTATTCTTGACTTTCATTAATTAATTAATATATGTATGTGATTAACGTTCAGATCCGTTTAGTAGTTTTTTTGCATGAAAAAGAATACCAAGTAGGTATGAGCATAAGCACATATCAGTTGATGAAGATATACAATTGCATTAATATTTATTGAATTAATATTCAATGCAAATTTTGACATTATGTAATGCTAATGTTATTGATAAAAAACAATAATTTCAGGTAGTTTTGTCATCGACACGGTATATAGGAAAAAATTTGCCGTACAACTTCTTAGTGCCATGGCTCCAAGAAGGACTTCTAACGAGTCAAGGTACATAGTTTTCAAATATATATATTTTGCATTTTAACATAAACCAACTATTCCCTCATGGCTTTTTTTTAAGGGGGGAAAATCATCGAATGACTGGTCCCGCCTGGGTGAGGCGGGAGGGAGTGTCAGACTCTTACTGACTAAAAACCACCCCGTTCCCTCTCCTGCACGTCGAGCCGGAGCCCCGGTTACCCGTTAGGTTCTCCGCGACTCCGAATCAGCATCGGCCCTATTGGGCCCCATCTGTGGTGGTCTGATGGCTCTTTGAGGCGCGCGCGGAACGCGACGCGCCGTACGCTCGGGTCTGTTTCTGGTCGGATGGGGAGCCACCCATTCTCGCCGTCCGCAGGCCCGCGCTTACGGTGGCCGGAGATCGTCCCGCGATCCCCAACGCCCGGTGTGTCCTTCGCGATGGCTGGGTTGCGAGGAGGCAGCGCTTCGCTGCCTCACGCGTCCCACCTCCTCCTTAGCTAGCATAACTGCTTCGCAAAAGGAATTCCCTCATGGCTTACTTGCTGGACTCGACACCTTTAAATTGTAGCGTGATAGGTGTCATAAATAAATCGTAGCGTGCCCCTGTCATTCCTCGATAAATAGACTTTCTAGAACACAAAGAATTATATGAAAAAATATTATATGAAAAAGTACTTGCTGAAATTAGCTCGTTCAAAGAAATGAATGCAGATATACAATATGTAACAAAAACCCAGTTGTTCCTTTCAGGGACATATACGTTTATCTAAAAGCACATCATTTAATGAAAATGTAATTAAAAAAATCATTGTCTGGTGTCAAAATCATATATCTATTAAAATCTACGCGCAGCGCGGCGTTGCGTTGCACCGCGTAGCGACTTCCCCTATACTTATTATACTCTTTGGTAGCGACACTGATCAAAGAGATTGGTGGTAACGTTTTACTCGTATGTCATGCAGTATTGCAGAGGTAAGAAATCATTTAAACATTACAAATATTAATAATTAAATATTTAATTTGATTATTTTTGTTGAACAATTTTTATAAATTACTTGCTTTATTACGTCCGTATGCCGATTCTTAAAACGTAGGTAGAAGGAACAACAGGGTTTGTGTTACATAATTATCTATATATATAAAAGAAAGTCGTGTTAGTTACACCACTTATAACTCAAGAATGGCAGAATAGATTAGGCTAAAAATTGGTAGGGAGGTAGCTTAGAGCCAGGAGACCGACATAGGATAGGTAGGTACTCTTTAATCAAAAATTTATTTTTTTTACTTTTTACCGAAAATCACGAACGGGGACGGGAAAAAATGGGATTACGCGTACGAAGTCGCGGGCAGAAGCTAGTATTGTATAAATGTAGTCGATCTGTTTCTTTTACATTCAAGGATAATTATATAAGAATAAAGGAAGGTCAAAGATGCAGTTAAATTATTAAATACCAACACAATTAAGTGCATAAATTGAATCTTGACAGATTATATAAGCATTGTTAAAACTTGGTTATACAACTACAAAGATACTAAGCTTGCTACTAGGTTGTATTATAAAGATTTGCATTAATTATACAGAAAAAAAGCTTCCTTATGCTAGCTTTGGATGATAAAATAGTTTTATTCTGCACGTTGAATCATCTTCAGATACGAATGGCTACATTGATTTTAAAGATATTGTCATTGTTATATTGATGTAATAAATACATTTTATAATGATATCAATCTTAAAGAGGTATACATATAAAAGAAAGTTGTGTTAGTTACACTATTTATAACTCAAGAACGGCTCAATCGATTTAGATGAAAATTGGCAGGTAAGCTTAGAACCAGGAGACGGACATAGGATACTTTTTATAGAATACTTTTTTTTACTTTTTACCGAAAATTACGAACGGGAACGGGGGGAAAATGGGATTGCGCGTACGAAGTCGCGGGCATAAGCTAGTAATAAATATATACAGGGTGGAATTTTGTAATGCCACCATAGGGGAAGTACTTTTCATACTTAAGATAGAAATGAGTGTGAGAGTGCCAACTTTGACAAATTTTAGTCGGTTCGATTACCGCGTGAGGCAAGCTAATTTAAAAAAAAACTTTCAAATTCAAATTCAAATTACTTTATTTGTAGAACATAGGTTACAAAAGATGTTACAAGCCTTACATTGACCAGCTATGTCTTGTATGCAGCACTTTGTATGCAGTTTTGTTTCTTTCAGGTGGCATAACAAAATTCCACCCTGTATGTTATGGATATCATTATAAAATTTCTGTTAGAAGATAAACATCAAATTATTTATTATCGTAATTAGTTTTAAATAACCATTTCAACCTCGTTTTATATCTAAACTAACTTCTAACCAGCAAGTGTGGGAGAGCCATGCTTCGGCACGAATGGGCCGGTTCGACCGGAGTGATCTGACCACGGCCTCACAGAAAAGCGACGTGAAGCAACTTGCTAGCTTGCATTGTGTTTCGTCGTGTGAGTGAGGTTACCGAAGGCCTAATCACCTTCCCCTTCCCCATTCTCCCCAATTAATGAATTCCCAACGATCCTCAAACTCCTAATCCCCAAAAAGCCGGTGACGCACTTGTAACGCCTCTGGTGTTCCAGGTGTCCATGGGCGACGCCGATTGCTTACCATCAGGTGATCCGTCTGCTCGTTTACCGGCTTATGTATGCCATAAAAAAAGTCCGTGGAATATGTCAAATAAAAATACCTAGGTACGTAAAATACTCTGTTTTCAGGTGAAAAATGGCATCAGCGCCGCAAAATGTTGACTCCAGCATTTCACTTCCAGATTTTGAAGAAGTTCTTTCCAACTTTCTGTGAACATTCCAAAGAACTAGTAAACAATTTAGAAAAGGAGTTGTACAAGGAAAAAACTGATTTGTTCCCCATTATAAGCAAGGCTACACTTGGATTAATATGTGGTAAGACATTTAATTTCAATTATTTAAATATACATATAAATAACTAACAATAACCCGGAGGTCTAGTGTGAACCGAGTCTGCTTCAATAAACCAACCAGTCAGAGCGCCCTCTGAGGTCTTAGTCCGAGTTTAAATTACGTTTAAACGCCCTCTGATTGGTTGGTTCATTAGAGCCGGGCAATCAGAGCGCCGAATGCGTACTCGTTTCGATAACCTTAAACGTAAAGCAAACACGAGTTTGTTTCGACTAAGGCCTCTGACCTCTCACTCGGCTAGGCAGACCCGCAGGGTGGGGAGCAAGTAGGTACCTATTGAACGGGATGCTGGTAGAGAAGACTTTTGTTCGACAATTAACACCTCTTAGCTAATCAAAATAATTAATCAAAGACCTTTAATGAGATACACACCTTTTTGTTGACCTTCACACATCAATAGACAGAATTTTAAAATCAACCCAAATGTAGATATTGAAACCGATACCTCGTGTAAATACGACGATATCTCTACTAATAACGGTAAATATTAATAATTAATTATGCGGTAAATTTTGTTTCAGAAACTTCAATGGGTGCATCTACAGGTGAAGATATAGAATTTTTGAAAAACAAATATTTTAAGCCATTGCACACAGTGGCTTGGACAATGATGTATCGGATCACAAGAATTTGGCTGTTCACAGACACACTGTTCAAACTGACTAACGTTGCTAAAATACAAAACGCTGCGTTGAAATCTTTGAACAAATTCACAACACAAATTATACAAGATAGAAGAAAATATAGAAAGCATAATAATATAACTGGTTACTATATTCACAATGAAGATGATGACGATAATAATTATGGGAAAAAAGGCAAACTAGCCATGTTAGATCTTTTGCTTGATGAAGAAGCGAAAGGAAGAATCGATGAAGCAGGAATCACTGAAGAAGTCGATACGTTTATGTTTGAAGTAAGTATTGTAATATACACACACATAACATCATAATAATATCTAGTTGTCCCTATATTATATAATTTATCCCTGAAGGCGTCGGCAGCAGTGCACATTACGGCACTTAGTGCCAATGTACAATGAGTATCATAATATCTCTTTTGAATTAATTAACAATTTACGCTCATCTATGCACGTAGGCAATTGGTTTGAGATTGATCGGCATAATGTCAATATTCTCCTTAGACCTACTTTTTATTAAGTGAATACGATAAGTAAAACTTTGCCTACTATTATATACTATACAATCTATCTGTCGCGGAGAACCTAACGGGTTACCGGGGCTCCGGCTCGACGTGTAGGAGAAGGAACGGGGTGATTTTTCGGTTCAGTTTTTTAGTCAGTAAGAGTCTGACACTCCCTTCCGCCTCACTCAGGCGGGAGAAGTCATTCGATGATTTTCCCCCCTTAAAAAAAATACAATCTATCTTTAGGTATACATCTGTATTATATATGTTGTTTATCGTACACGTTGCACTTTCTAGTTTTTGTAAACCCTACGTGATCGAGTTATGCGGAGATGTGATCACTATTTCAAGATTATCGCTGCAAGACAACCACATTTTAGGATTTGGTACCTATACACCTAAAAAATAGAAGAACAATTATTTACCAAAGTAAATTTTCTTTTTTTTCGCACTGCGAACTTTATAGTATTTACAAAGCATTCATCTCAAAATCCAATTTAAATATTTTGCAAATTAAGGCCATGAGAGGTTATTGGACTTTTGGAGTCATTTGCATATTTTTATTTGATGTGATGTTTTTTGAATAATTTTGTAAACACAAAAGTTCAAACCGAATTCAAAAATGTCAAGTTCATTTCATTCAAATTCAGTTCAAGGTCCATAAATTACGTGAGGCTAGATTTTATTCAACACCCCATCCCCCAATCACACGTGAGATTTTTCAAAATGTTGGTTTTTCACTTAAACGCGTTGGATTTGTATTGTAAAAAGAAAATACAGATGCTTCGTGCTTATATTTACGACTAGTTAAGACTAGTAATCAATATTACTGAGAGTTATAAGTGAAATAAAAATACAAATGCATGTACAATTAAATCTTACTAAAATATTGACTAAAATAATATATTCTTTTTGTTTCAATCACAAAAAAAAAATACTTGATATTTGCCGAGACTCCCCCTCTCTCCAACGTAAGATTAAATGAGATTTAATCTACCCCCTCCCCCCTTAAACATCTCACGTAATTTATGGACGCCCCCTTACCTGGTTCGATAATAACTCCAAACCAAGTCCAATACTATTCAAGTTTGTTATACTTATATTGATTTTCGTCACCCCCTATTATAATGAGACTAACTAAATATTATTATGACTCAACAATTTAAAAGAAAAACAATGAGCCGAACATAGTACCTCCTTCTTTTTTTGAAGTTGGTAAAAATGGATACTTATCTGGAATCGAATCCACAAATCCTTACGGATTTAGTAACAGGTGTGTGACTGGCCTTTTAGGGGTTACCCTCAACACACGGAATACTTAAAAAGATCACATACTCGTTACCCTTTGGTGTTGCAGGTGACCATGAACTACGCCAATTACATACATACCATCAGGTGAACCGGTTTAAAAAATCAAGACTGCGAAAACTTTAAAAATCTTCATTAAATTTTGAATATTCTAGACTTGTTATAAAGTTGGAATTGCAATAAAAAGTCTGTATTATATTTATTTATTTATTTAGACTTAGTACAAAACATATGTACAGGTGAACTTAATGCTTCGGGCATTGTCTTACAGTCGACCTTAAGGTGGTGCAGAGTTGTATTATATCTACAATAAAGTTATTAATTCAATGTAAAAATTATTTGATTTCAGGGTCACGACACAACTGCAACAGTGCTCTGTTTCATGATCATGAGACTGGCGAATGAACCTGAAATACAGGTATTTTTATAAATGTAACAGTTTACTAGCAAGTGGTGAATGTACTTTAAATAAATTAAATGTTGGTGTAATAAATAAGTGATGTAGTCCCACACTGCTAAACTTTAAATTAACTATACCTATCTTAGTAGTCTTTTTAAAGTGGATAATAAAAACATGTCCAATACTTTTTGAGTGATACCACGGCCTCACAGAAAACCGACGTGAAGCAACGCTTGCGTTGTGTTTCGTCGTGTGAGTGAGGTTACCGAAGACCCAATTACCCCACCCCTTCCCCAATCTCCCCAATTCCTGAATCCCCAACGATACTCAAGCTCTTAATCCTCAAAAGGCTGGTAACGCACTTGTAACGCCTCTGGTGTTCAAGGTGTCCATGGGCGACAGCTATACCGATAGCTTACTATCAGGTAATCCGTCAGCTCGTTTACCGGCTTATGCCATAAAAAAAAACATTCATTTCATTTTATTATAAGAGTTAGTTCGCGTCGAGCCATCAAGTCGGGCGTTCTCATTACAGTCAGCAAAGGCCACGTGTCCCTCAGTTCACACACATCAGTTCATTACCTCATTTACCTTTAATTTTGGAACAATACAATACATTTAACATTCTATTCTACCCAACATTATCTAAAATAGTGTGTGATCAAGCAAGAGATCATACAGACAGGCTTCGTTTTTTGAACCTTTTTGGGCATGCTCAATAGACCCCCAATTACCATGCTATTTTAGAGCATGAGTATTAACAGTACCTTAACTGGCGAAAATGACATAATGTCAGATGATATTTAACCTTCAGGGTCCATTTGATATAATGTTTAGTATGTTTATTTATTCTAGGATTCTATAGCTGAAGAACTGAAGGGTATATATGGCGACAGTCAACGACCTCCTACCCTTGAAGACTTGAGTCAGATGAAGTACCTGGACTGTTGTATAAAGGAGTCGCTCCGTCTCTACCCCAGCGTGCACTTTATGTCCAGATATTTTACTGAGGATGTGAAGTTAGGTGAGCTACTTTAACTCTTACTGATATATCAGAGAGATTGTAAAACATATTTATTTTGAAAGAAGAAGGAAGGGGTTTCGCTCGTTCTTCTCTATTCGAATGTACATTTTAGAACGAATACTTAACTTACACGGACGGACAAACTTACAGACTATTATTTATTTTTTGACGTTTCAAAAGTTCCTAATTATGGTTTCATTAAAATAAATGCTTTGACTTTTTTGAAACAATTAATAATGCAATATACAAAGTACTCGACCAAATTAGGTCTGACTTGCAGTTGACTAGACTATATAGACTAGAATTGCTCTTATCACCAGTGGCATTATGAATATAACGGCCTGTGTGAATCACTTACTATAATATACCGGGCACAATTTCGGACCCAATGTTATCATTAAAAATGTTTGATTTTTCAAAGAAGGCCAAACGAAACTCAAGGCATTTTGCACATCGATCCAAGATGCAGTAGAGAAATAATTATATTAATGTTTTAACAAATATTTAAAAGCTTCACCAATTTCAATTGTATCTTACAGGCGACGTCACAGTACCATACGACACGATGTGCCATTTCAACGTGTTCGACATACATCGCAATCCGGATATATTCCCGGACCCGGAGAAGTTCATACCGGAACGATTTCTGCCCGAAAACTGTGTTTCGCGTCATCCATATGCTTACATACCATTTAGTGCTGGTCCTAGAAACTGCATAGGTAAGACGATAAATACTTATAATATATCATCAATCCGTATCCGTCAGTGAAAGTCCACTTCTAAATCTGAACTAAAGACCTCTGGACATAAAAGAGAAGGCTTATCGCAGAGGTAGATTAAACGTAGATAGCAGCCTCTAGGCAAGCATCTCTAACTATCAAAACACCACAGATGGGGCCCAGTAGGGCTGATGCCCGATACGGTGCTGCGGAAGGCCTAACGGCTTGCCGGGACTCGGGCTCAAAGAGCAGCAGTAGGAACAGGGTGGTTTTTAGTCAGTAACAGTCTAACCCAAGGCGGGAGAAGTCATTAGATGATTTTCCCCCCTCAAAAATGAAAAAGCAAGCATCCAATAAGCGTTTCTATTTTTTTTTGTACCGCCGCGCCGTCACTTTAGGCACGCTCGTCTCACGGCGTCGCGGCACCCGTACGTAACCCAGCGCTCTAGGCCCCAACTAGTTTACCTTACGGATGATACGGCTCTGGCTTACCGTATCCATGTATCTACGCTTGGCAGGCGGGTTGGAGATCGGAGTTTAAGGATTTCATCAGAGGCCTTAGTACGAGTGTATTTATTACGCGTACTCGTTACGTTTAAAGTAATCGTAACGAGTACGCGTTCGGCGCTCTGATTGGTTGGTTTATTGGCGCTGCTGCTGCCCAGACTCAGTCAGCTGTTTAGTCCCTTAATTAGCTTCTACGACACTCGTAGAAAAAGCAGTATTAGTGACAAAAGTCCAAAAGTATTCTACTCACTGTCACCGTCTAAGTTAGCTTGACTTTTTTTACATAAGTCGTATTATTTCTTTGCAGGTCAAAAGTTTGCCCAGATTGAACTCAAAGTAATCATGTCGAGTATACTTCGAAGGTACATATTGGAACCTGTCACCAGAACAGAAGACCTGGTGTTCACTATTGATATCATTTTGAGAACCAATCATCCAATCTATGTACGTTTTCGTGAAAGAGAGCGTCATGATTAAAATTGTACTTCTTTTTTATTTGTTTACTAAAATCATAAGTGGAATGTATCAAATCACTTTTATCTGTTTTTAAATAATATTAGATTGTTTTAGAATTTATGTACTCTACATAGGTATATCAAGACAGCTAATAAAGTTTTATTTTAAGTAATGAAGTATTTTTATTTCTCAATCAAACACTCGTTTATCCGTGGCCATTTTTTTCACTATGTTTCACATGAAACAAACAAAAATACAAGTCCTAACCACACATCCCTTTTTCTGCAACAATTTTACACATAACATAAAACATAATTATACATTATGTCAATAAAACATTCTTAAAATAACCGGCAAGGTTTAGGCGAAAATATAAATGTTCCCATTTTTGAGTGAAAGCATCTAAGGCATTTTCACAACCGTTAATATCCAGTAATCAACTCTACAGTCCTATATACCGTTCCCTTGAACATCAAAAGATCGGATAGTCTACCTGTTCACCTGTGGGTGTCCCCCATCCCATACTATCCGATACTTCTTAACTGCGCAGTGTAACATGCACCAACTAACTAGCCAGAGTCATTGAAACTGGCCGCGTAGTCGCTTAAACATATATAGTTAGGGTCATAATATTCATAACATTCTGTTGCAACAACTGACAGTATCACACGTGCTAATCGCTGACAAAATGGTCTTGTATTTGCTATGGGCCATCGGCTTAGTACTTGTGGCAATTCCCTTATACTTCCGATGGTGTCGCGCTGGCCGTCTTATGGCCAAAATTCCCGGCCCACCTGAACTGCCCGTGATTGGAAACTTGGTGACTATCTACAGAAGTAAGGGTATGTACTCGTTATCAACGTGATTGTTGGCTTTTTGAACCCACCCTGTTAATATAGGTACCACTAAAAACTATATATCAATACCTGTTAATTTGAAACTATTTTTGCAGAGATATATTTCGAAGTAGAACTGTAGAACAAATGATTAAATAATACTAATATATTATCACATGCTTTACATGGGACGGGTATATGGCATTATAACATTAATAATATTTGACTTGTTTGTGTTTACGAATCCACCACCACAATGACTGATATGTATCAATAATAGTAATAATATAGATTTATGATTTTCTCCAAAAATCCTTCTTTGTTTATAAACCAGATATTTCAATCTGCCGACACTATAATTAGATGCCACTTAACAGAGAGTAGACATTTATTTTGTAAGTAAAATGTGAACATATTTATTTGATTACCATTGTTTTAGCATTACACCACAATACGTACATTGCGTGATATAAAGGTTAAATTAATAAGTAGAACGACAAGATAAAATAAGTCACTAACTATTATTTTTAAAAGGACAAAACACATTCACTTGCCTTAATTCAACTCTACTCAACCCTTCATTTCTTTTCTTTTTTCTTTCTTTAACGTTACAACGGTGTGGTTTTATTGTATTACTAGCTTTTACCCGCGGCTTCGCTCGCGTCACAAAAGGATAAAAAGCCAATGTGACATATACCAATACACACAGCGCCATCTATACCAATACTTTTGTTTTCCCTCGGGAATATCAATTATTCCGGATAAAAAGTACCCTATTATTTAATCCGGACTTCTAACTTTACGTCTGCAAAATTTCAAAGCAATCGGTTTAGTAGTTACGGCGTTAAAGTGGAACAAACAAACAAAGAAACAAACTCACTTTCCGATTTATAATATTAGTAAGGAGTAAGGAAGTAAGGATAAGGATTTATTGTGTCAGGAAATAGGAAGCTAGGAAGCGATAAAAGCCAATTTATTATTTTACAACTTCGGAGACCTCAAATAACTGTTAAGTAATTCGTTCGTAACCAAAAACACAATGATTGAGTACAGAATAGAATAACAATTAAAATAATATTTATTAATTAATTACCTACTATCTAAATGCTTGAACATGAAGTTACTCAAGAACTTAGTAAGTATTTTTTACGCTGTAGGATCGGAGTATTTTTTAAAATTAAATTGGTCTTTAGTGCAATACTTTTTTTTTAAGGGGGGAAAATCATCGAATGACTGCTCCCGCCTGGGTGAGGCGGAAGGGAGTGTCAGACTCTTACTGACTAAAAACCACCCCGTTCCTTCTCCTGCACGTCGAGCCGGAGCCCCGGTTACCCGTTAGGTTCTCCGCGACAGTGCAATACTTTACAATACGGAGAAGCGGTGACTTGCATCGCGATTATCAATTAATTCTAACAATCCTTTATCTGTGTATCACAGATCTTATCAGTCGCTAAGACTCGTTTTTTCTCGTGCGGGTTTGAAACCTACCAACGGCAAGTACAAATGCGACTTTTTCTGAGCAACATATACTTTCTTAGATTATTTAGACACCACAGACAAACTCTAAAGGAAAACATCGTAAGGGAACATGGCTTTTAAGTTTGAAATCGCCAACCCCGCATTGAGCAAACGTGGTGCTTACTTAATGCTCAAACCTTCTCTTTACGAGAAGAGGCCTTTTATCAGCAGTGACCACTCATAGCCTGTTGATGTGTACGTGTGATGCGATATATCTTTAATTGTTGTAAATCTCTTTATTTGAGACATCTATAAATTTACTCTAATTAATGCCTATTACTAGAGGTAAATATATATATCTAACTAAACTAATGGAAGGTTATCCAACATTATTAGGTTGTATAACATAACCTTTTTAATGGGGGAAATCCGCATGGACTGCCTCCGCCTGGGGAAAGGCGGAGGGGTGTGCAGGACTCTTACCGGCTAAAATCACTCCAGTGTCACCTCGCACGTGCGCGCGGGGCCGCGTGAGTCTAAATTTATCCGCAGATTATAACATAACCTACCCCAACCTACTATATTTTTTAATTGGCAAACGTTATAAAACAAACCGGATTTCACCCAAAATCTTTTGAATAGGCCGAGTACAGTACGTACAACGAGTACAGAACAAGTTGTGCAAATTAAAAAAAATATGAGCCGAGGTTGACGTAAGATCTTTTTTGTTTTTCGTCTGTTGAAGAATGATTCATAGATTACGTGTTACTTAATAAGCCGTTAGAGTGAAAGGTTAGAAATGAACTTGATCTACGTAAAATTTTAAGTAACCATAAAGTCGTTGACACGAATTATTTTCAAATGAAAATAATTCGTGTACGAGGGAAATGAACAAATACCTACTTATTCCTTTGTCATCTTCTGTAATGTAAACTATCTTCTGATTTGTTTCATTGTGAGATCCAGGAGGATAGCAGTAAACCTTTTCTTGTTTCAGAGGATTTATTCACCGATACAAGATTATTTAATAAAATGTATGGGCCTCTCTGGAAATTGCAAGCTTTCAATTTGCGCGGAGTGGCTATATCTGATCCTAAAGATATTGAGGTATGTCCATTATTATTTTCTTTGAAATAGGTATATTAATATCCTAAACGCCACAAAAATAGCCTGTCAGATCTAAAATTTTAAAATGAACGAGTTGAGAAGCGATCACTATCTGATAAAAACATCTAAATTGGTTTGATTCATAAAGAAGTTCTATAAACTTTCTACTTCTGGTAATGGTTATGAAGCCCTTTTTTTTGAATGGGGACTCATCCAATGACTTCTTCAGGCCTTGATAAGGCGAGAGGGAGTATCGGACACTTGCTGACTAAGCGCTCGTACAGAAAAATGCGATGCGATGCGATGTCGCATCGCAAGAATTTGCGAATTGATTTGCGTCGCGCATCAAAATCTTATCTTCCCAAAATATTCTTTGTTTCGTTTTCCTGTATTTCCATAGAAATAACAAAAGTGCACACTTGTTTTTACGATGCATGTCACGACCTAGTTTTCAATTTATAATACGTTTAGTACCTACGGTTGACGGTCGTTAAAGGAATGGTCACCATGGGACGCGGACGTCTAGTCGCACAAAATCGCATCGCAGCAATTCGTGTCGTAATTTATTGAGTTGTGGATTCGCATCACATCGCAGTTTTGTGTACGAAACCTAAAAACCGCCCCGTTCCTACTCCTGCTTTGATCAGGAGCCCCGGTAACCCACTAAATCGTCCGCAGCTGCTGTCGAATAATTATGATGCCTTGATTCCAACGGGCCAAGTACAACAGTAGACGTTTTATGTTCGACGCGGTGACGTAAAGCCTGGTTTCTACTAATATTTATCCCATTTCAGATGATACTCTCTTCCACCACTTACAATGAAAAGAACTTGCCTTATACCTTTTTATATACTTGGCTTCGTGAAGGGCTGTTAGTGAGCAAAGGTATGTTAATACTTCTTACTGCTAATTGAATCGACCACAACGATAAAAATACAAGCGTCATATTTCATTGCAGGTGAAAAATGGCACCAACGTCGAAAACTGTTAACACCAGCCTTTCACAGTTGCGCGCGCGCGCTCGGCGTTGTCGGCTGCGAGTCGTGTGGTTCCCGGAATTGTTTATACCTACCTATTTTTGCGAACACGCAGAGGTTCGGAGTATTGATAATCATGGTGCAGTGTAAGAAATGTAATAAGTTTGTGGCTGCGGCCAGGGACGAGATTGTAAAGTGTAAGGGGACATGTGATGCCGTTTATCATAGGAAGTGCGCGGCAAAATTAACATTTAAAGACGAAAAATGTGAAGATTGTGTTTCTTCGCCTGGATTCGAGTCTCCTAGTTCTGAAGATTCCAACATCAGAAGCATTCTAGCGGAAATGAACAAGAAAATGGAGATTATGTTCAACATGGAGAAGAAACTCAGCGAGTTGACGGAACTAGTCGATTTCATTTCCGAAAAATATGACAAGATGTGTGATCTTCAATCTCTAAGTGAAAAAAAGATGAGAGCGTTAGAGAACAAGAATGCGTATTTAGAAAAATGCAATAAATCGCTAGAAGAACGTATTAATGAGATAGAAGAGAAAGACAAAGAAAAAAAGGTGGAATTATCTGGCTTAGAGAAGAATAGCAACGACGACATATCAAAGGTCGTAACCCAGATCGCTCAGAAACTTCAATTGAACCCCGGTGATATTGAGCATGTTGAGAGGGTGGGTCGAGAAAAACCCGGGTCGGAGAAACCACTTCCAGTAGTGGTTACCTTAAAGTCAAAGCTTGCTCGTAATAATTGGCTTGAATTGCGTAAGAGTGTAATAACAAATGGTCAAATATATGGCACAAATAATAACAACCGTGTTTACATAAATGAAAACTTAACTCGATATAAAAGAAGTCTATTGTGGGCTACAAAATTACAACTTAAAAAAACATATAAATATATTTGGGTTCAAGATGGCAAGATACTCATAAGAAAAAGCGATGATCAGAAAAAAATCATGTCGATTCGATGCGAAAGCGATATCGAAAAACTACTAAATAATGATGTATCTGGGCAGGCCTAACCGTTCACCGACAGCACACAGCCGAGCACAAGTAGTGCGGAGTACACACTGCGTGATCACTTCTATGGCTAGTAATGGATAGATTTGACACAATTGTTGCACTGGAATGTCAATATGATCGTCATCTAAATTTAAGTAACTGGACGCAAAATATATCGAGCAATGCTAAAGAATTACGAGTGTTGCATTTAAATATCCGTTCACTTAGAAAACACTTTAATGAATTACTTGTGATATTGAAAGACCATACAGAATACATAGATGTGTTGGTACTGTCCGAAGTTAATATTAAAGAAGAAGAGGTTCCATTGTACTATATACAGGGGTACAATGTAGCTACTAACACAAGAGAAAAAACTAGAGGAGGAGGATTGTTAATCTACATAAAAGATGACTTCACTTTTGTTGAAAAAACATCTCGAATCAGTTCCGCAGAAATCTTACATCTTACATTGAAAATGAATATAACTATCTTAAATATAATCGCAGTTTATAGACCACCAAGGACAAGCAAACTGCAGTTTATTTCGGAAATTGACGAGATTATAAAGAAAATACCGAGTAACGAAAGTGTTATCATTGTGGGCGACATCAATATAAACTTATTCGGGGTAAGTGACGTATGTCATGCATCGAAGTACAAGGACTGTTTGTGTGAACTAGGCCTAATGTGTGTTATACCGGACACCGAGGTAACGCGGGAGGCGATCGTCGCGGGTGTGAGAGAGACGTCATGCATCGACCACGTGTGGGTGCGAGCGAGACAGCTGCGGGAGTGCGCGTCGTTTGTGATTGAGTGTTATATATCCGATCATCATATGATTGGGGTTGCATTTCCTATAGAAAATAACCCAAATGTGGACGATGCACGTTTGGCGGGTCGGAAAGTAATTAATAATAAATTAGTTTATAGGAAAATATGTGATTATAACTGGTCTCAAATGTTGGGTATCGATTGTCCGTTAGAGCTATACGATAGGATATAATGTATTCAATAAGATTTACAGTGATAGTCAAATTGTTGTACCAAATACTAAAAAACGAACATCACAGCCATGGGTAGGAGAAGTATTGAAAAATATGTTAATGCGGAGGGATCAATTATTCAGAGAATGGAAGGTAGATCCTAATAATAATACGAAGAGATTAGAATACACGCGGTACAGAAATAGGGTTAATAAAACAATATTCAAGGAAAAAAATAAACACAAACAGGAAGAAATTAAAAAGTGCAATGGAAATCCTAAAAGAATATGGGAAAAAATTAATTGTTGGTTAGGAAAAAGAAAAACTAATATTGATAGTATAGTTACTAAGTATTTAGGAAGTAGTGATACAATGTATAATGTATGTAATAAGTTTGCAGATACATTTACTCAAGAAATTGTTAATATTAAGCATAGTTGTAACACAAAGTTCCTAGATAGATCTCATTATGTTAAACCAAGTAATGTAACATTCCGCTATATGCCAGTGGGGAGTGACACAGTATCTAAAGTCATTGACAACCTCAGCAACGAGAAGGCGCCAGGCATAGACTGTATTAGAACTATCGATCTTAAATCAATAAAAAAGCAACTATCACCTGTTTTGGCACACTTTGTCAACATGTGTTTGACCAGGGGACAATACCCTGGCCTACTCAAGAAAGCCTTAATAAGACCTATATTTAAACAGGGAGTCCATACTGATTATTCCAACTATAGACCAATTGCTATCCTATCAGTAATTAATAAAATAGTAGAAAAAATTATCGTAGGTCAGGTCAGTGGGTTCCTGGAACAGCACACGTTAATTTCAGATACTCAGCACGGTTTCAGGTGCGGTCGCAGTACTGCAACAGCATTGGCAGGGTTCTCCGAATATATAAATGACAGGTTGGACCAGGGTCACCAAATTCTAGCTCTTTTTATAGATTATAAAAAGGCGTTCGATACGTTAGACCATGAGGTGCTGCTTCGGGCAATGGATGATTGTGGAATCAGGGGGCCCACTAATACTTGGTTCCGTACATACCTAAGCGAAAGAACTATTCAGACTAGTATAGCGGGTACCACAGGACAAGAAGCTGGGGTTGCTCTGGGCGTGCCGACCGGATCCGTGTTCGGGCCAGTTGGCTACATCATGCACGTGAACAGCGTTGCAAATGTAGTTAAAAAATGTCAAGTTTATATGTACGCTGATGATATGTGCTTACTATATTCCTCCAAAAACATACATGAAGCTAGAACCGTAATACAGGAGGATTTCATTAACATCACCAAATGGGCGCATGATAATGGAATTATCCTGAACGTAAACAAAACTAAAATAATACACATACATTCACCTACAATTTAGTAGCAAAAAGAATTAATAGTTTAGATATAGGTATACAGGGTCATACATATGAATGCTTGCATGCAAATAATATTAGTTGTGTTTGTCAAAATATAGAATATGTTAAAACATTTAAATACCTGGGGCTGTGGGTGGACAGTAACGCTAACTGGCGGACGCATGTTGACACTGTGTGCACAAAGCTTAGAACAGTTTTGAGTAAGTTCTATGCACTACAAGCGCCTTTAAGTATACAAACATTACGTACAGTTTATTTTGCTCTAGTCGAATCGTTGATAGGTTACGGACTAAGTGTCTATGGACGCACTTTTAAGACTTATTTAGACAGCATTAAATCCCTACAAATCCGCTTCCTTAAGTTTCTAGTATCACCTAAAGTTAGACGTAAATGTGAAGAAAACTATGAGAGACTATACATTCCATGCAAAATACTTCCTGTTCACGACCGGGCCAGATACTTGTTGATTCTTGAGCAATTTTATAGTGAACAAAAAAAAGAAAAAGTTGCAAACAAATATAACACAAGACGTGTGAGAGAAAATAAGTTAGTCCGGCCGACGATAAACAATTATTATGGAAAAAGAACCAACAGGTACATGGTTCCGACGTTGTACAACGATATTGATTTGTTAAGGCACATAAACAATACAATTGGTAGACAATCCTTAAAATATAAGCTAAAGACTGTGTTACTTACCGAATTTGCCAAAAATTTTAGTTAATGTTAATCTGCTTGTTAGCTGTTTATATAAATTAATGTTAGCTGTTGATATAAATTATTTCACATAATTATGTTTGTTAGTATAAGATAACACCGTTTTTGTTAAGGACAAGTTTGATCCGAGGTTTTGTTTGTTTAGTATGTAGGTATAGTAGTAAGTATAGTTAGTGTAAGGTAGTTATGAATATCGAGCGCTATTCCCGCCGTCAAACTGTCATAGCAGTTTGGTGGGTATATGTATTGTATTTTTTTTTGTATAAAACCAATAAAGAATTAATTATTATTATTATTATTATTATTACTTCAAGATACTCAACGAGCACTTCCATTGTTTCCGAGAACGAACCCAGGATCTACTGCGGGCCATAGAAAATGAACATAATAAGGCACAAGTTGATTTAAATCCTTTATTTACTAAAGCAACTCTTCTTGTTATGTGCGGTAAGATGAATTATATAAAATATTTACGTACGATTTGATTTTTGGGATATTCTATATATGACTATGTCGAGGAAACTTTATTGAAATATGTGCCACAATCAGACTAATAATAATTTCCTATTTTAGAGACATCACTTGGTACAAAAGTAGAAGACACGCCAGTTTTTGACAATTATCTGAAATCCATTCATGATATGGGTGAATGCGTTTTTCAAAGATTGACCCAGCCTTTGCTGGCAATTAACTTTATATATAGCATGTCATCAAATGCAAGAAGAGAAAAATCTATAGTTAAGGTATTACATGATTATACAAAACAAATTGTTGAGAAAAGGAGAGATAACAGGATGTTGAATAGTAAAAGTGTGGTTAAAGAAAATGTGTATGAAAAGAAAATTAAACCAGCATTGCTAGACCTCTTGCTAGATGAAGAAGAACAAGGGAATATTGATATAGAGGGAGTCCTGGAAGAAGTGGACACGTTCCTGTTTGAGGTGAGTACAGATACCAGTCACATCAACCATCATATAAAATAAATTAAAATAAAAAATAGTCAAACAGTTGCAATAGTAGAAGACAAACAAAAATGTACATCACAATAAAATAAAAACGAAACAAAACATTTAATTATACACGTTCACACAGACTTATACATATACAGACTTTAGAGACTATCACAAAAATTTTGACAAACATTTTTAACAGCTTTAAGCTCGTCCATGAATAGATCACAGTCGGGGTAGGCTTCCATTCGCCTAATGACGCGGACAGGACGTGAAGAATGGTAGACGATGCCCGGGCCACGGTACGACTTGCGAGCACGCATAGTAGACGGTGCCTACGAGCGCATATGTAGTTATTTGGTGCATATAATCGAATCAGCTCATTGTGGAGATCAGGTGCGTCTATAATCCCTCTGCAGATTTTGAGGGTGATGTGAAGTTGATTGTGTGCTTTTCTATTATCCAACATATTAAATCCTAAACATCCTGGAAGGTACTTTGTTATGTAAAAACATTTTTATTAGTAAGTTGATATTATATAATAGTACTAGTATTAGACTAGTAGAGAACAATAGTTGTAAAAATGTTCAACTAACAATTAATATCATATAAATATCACTAGCTTTTACCCGCGGCTTCGCTCGCGTCACAAAAGGATAAAAAGTAGCCTATGTGACTATCCATCCGTTCAACTACCTTCAGTTAAAAATCACGTTAATTAGTACCTCCGTTCTGCCGTTTAAGACAGGCAAACAAACAAATAGCTTTCCGCTCGCGTTGAATTTGGTTATATCGCGCTATTTAGATTTTTCCAATAAGTAGGTAATTCGTTGACTGGTTTTAAATGACATACAACGCCATCTATACAAGTACATACAGCGCCATCTATACCAATATTTTTGTTTTTCCTAGGAAATATAAGTTTTTCCGGGATAAAAAGTACCCTATTATTTAATCCAGACTTCTAACCCTACGTCTGCAAAATTTCAAAGCAATCGGTCTACGGCGTGAAGGCGGAACAAACTCACTTTCCGATTTATAATGGAAGTAAGGATTTTACTTTATATCATTATGGGACTGAGTCATCGATTCTATGCCAAAAAACTAACTACTACCAAAACTGAATTTAGTGAATACCTACTAATATTTTCAGGGTCACGACACTACAGCATCAGTGTTGACATTCATGGTCATGAGGATTGCCAACGAATCAGTAGCCCAGGTAATGATAAAATCTTATTTATTTATCATTAATTGTCATTTTGTGTAAATTTAAGTTTAAATCAAATAATAACATCGAATAAATCTTTAACCTTCGCCTCATCTTTAACCTTCGGTTTACAAAAATTACATTTAGCATTAAGTTTATAATTGATTTGGTAAATGTTTACGCTATCGGTACAATAGTACCTTATTCATATGTATATAGTAAAAAGCCTTTTTGTTCGCGTGTAGTGTAGCTGCTGAGCAAAGGAACTTGATTTCAACCGATTTCTGGTTCCAGCAAAGTAGTATTATGTTTATTTTCCATTTTCGAAATTCTTACAGATATTAAAAACTCCCTCACACAAATAAGCAAATAAAAATACTTATTACCCTAGCCATTTAAGAAACCAATGATACAAATGTATCTCCGAACTTTATTGCTCGTATTCCAGAATCATATATACGAAGAGTTGAAAGACATTTATGGTGACTCTCCGAGACAGTTGACTGTTGAAGACTTGAGTAAGATGAGATACCTGGAGTGTTGCATCAAGGAATCACTCCGGCTGTACCCCAGTGTACCGTTCCTTTCTAGATATATTAAACACGAAGTGGACATAGGTAGAGTATAATTTTGTTATATAATTACTCCTTTATATTTTGACAGACAAACATATCTTGAAATGTTTTCATTGGCTTTAAAAAGTGCCTTATTGACCAAAGTCAAAGTAAAAGTCAGTGGTCAACACCAAAGTCTAGTTAGGTAATTATTGGATTTCGAAAGAGCATTGACTAAAATTGGTGCCTTTCTTTTTTCTGGCGGTAATCGATGTTTTATGAAAAATATTATCTAAAATGACATTACAAACGATTTTTTCTATGGGCTCATATATCAAAATTCAGTCTGGACTGAATTATAAGCGTTGAAAGGAGTTGGAGTCGAACATTTTATATTGCTATTTTTATTTAAATTATTCATATTTTTATCACAGTTCCTGACTTTACATTACGCGCTACTGTTGACCTGGCATGAGTACGCCATATCACACCACAATATGGATGATATGCCAGGGACTAATTTTTGTCAGCTATTTTCTCTCGGTCGATAACTTGTGGGATGCTTCAAGGAGGTGTGCCATGATCGTACGTGAGCGTCAGCTGCGGTACCAATAGTGGGTTGAATAGTCGCAGCCACCTAAACATCTAACAAAGTACAATTTTTTTGCCGTTTACTCCTGATTGGGAACTAATCTGCTTAATAATTGGCATAATCTTTTGAAGAAAGGTTCCGTTGGTTGTGAAGTGATGGACTATACGTTAGATAGGGGCACAATTTTTTTTATATTTGTGTGATCAGTCGAAGTATAATCCATCACTTTGGTCGATATCTGTCTATAAAATGGTATGCTAACTGTAGATTAACTGTAGTTACAATAGTTACTAATCGGGAGACGTCGACAGAAAAATGTTTTTTTTTGTGTTTTGACGACTGCCACTATTCAATTCGCTACTGAAGCCGTAGTTGACTAACATTGCATTTCATTATAAGGCTCAGTAAAGTGTTTTGCTGGTTTTCGATTAAAAGGAAATTGGGCATAAAATATGTCATAGATCATAAACCGTATAAATATAAAGTGAAGACACTAGCTAATCAAGCGATGACTTGAGTAATGACCGGTTAATGGTTAATTTGTTTAAATATACTCTGTTTTGATTCCGTGGATTTTAACAAAAAAAAAAGTTAAGTCATACGTTCACAATAAGCTTTATTAAATTCCTTAAAATCGTTTATAAATATTAGTACAAAATATTTCTGACAAGTAAATGAAGAAATATGCATTTTGTACGGTCACCATCAACAAAATAACAGGAATAATATAGCACTATTTTCACATCTTTGAATTGATTTAACTCGGTTTGGACTGTGTTTCTGATATAAGACCATTCATATTTTTTGTTGGTAATGTCTAAATCTGCATGAGTTATTCCACAGCCGATAAACTGCCGCGAAAAAATAAAAAGACACCATGCTCCATACAAATTTGGTCATTGTCATTTCGTCAGTATTTGCAAAGAGATCAGCTTGTTATCCATATTACAAAATGAAAACTTTGAAGGGCAAGATTTGATGCCTACTTATTTCATATCATATTACATTCTGAAGAATCCAATGGCATCTTGATATTTCTAAAAAGTCATTACCTACTTTGGCACACACACAACACATTTTGTATTTTGGAAAAGTGATTAATTCTCTTTGTCGTCCCCAGCTGGTTACACGATTCCAAAGAAAACATTTTGCAACATCCACGTGTTTGATGTCCACCGTGACCCTGAAGTGTACCCGGACCCCGAGAGGTTTATCCCAGAGCGGTTCCTTCCGAAGAATGTGGCCACTCGCAGCCCTTACAGCTACATACCGTTCAGTGCGGGACCTAGGAATTGTATAGGTAAGTATTATTTTCTACATACCTACATAACTTCAAGCCTGTCTCCCATGGGGGTAGGCAGAGACTTTTTTTGTCCCTTCTTTAATATATCGCCAATCTGGTCAGTATATGTTCGTCTAGGGCGTCCACTACCGACGGCTCCATTCATATCCGCTGTGTGTACTTCTTTCGTAACTCTACTTTCATCCATCCTTTCTACATGTCCAGACTAGCGTAACATTCCCTTTTCAATCCTTGTCACTACATTATCTTTCGATGATGAATTTGATTTAAATTATTCAAAATGTTTTGTATAGCAACCAGACATGTCTAGTTCATCTAGTTTTATCTAGTTTGTTCAAGAAACCGAATTGATGCAAATTAAGTTAACCGGCAAGTTTAGCAGCTAGTATTTGTTTATACAATGAAACATTATTTTCCCTTTATCTGATTGTACCTACCTAAATGTTTTTAGTTTTATATTTATTTTAGTTTTTAGTGTCCTACTTTTTTTAAACATAAACAAAAATATCGCTTATGTCTTGTTGTCTCTATAACTACCCTATTATGAATTTAAAATACCTTTTTTAAATGACCAGGTTAATATATCTTGTTTCTATATGCAGGTCAAAAGTTTGCCATGATGGAACTGAAGACAGTGATGTCAGAATTGCTATGGAAGTATCAGCTGGAACCGATCACAAAGCCTGAAGATCTGGTCTTCACAACAGATCTAGTTCTTCGGACCAATCATCCTATTTACGTACGATTTAGACCAAGGGTGCAATTCTAATAAAAATAGGTTGCAACCGTATTACACGTAATTTTTGAAACTGTATTCCAAAATGTGCTGCATCACGTATGTTCACAGTTAGATATACTATTTAGTAATCACTAAACCAGCTAGTAAAAGTCCATTAACATATTTGTGATAAAACAATATATTAGGTATCTTATCAATGTAATAAATGAAAGCACTTTGCTAACCTCCACGGCCGTTGGAGTAGACTCGTAAAACATAGATTAGACTTACATTAAACATTCGACTAGTTATTAGATTGTGAAGTAATTGTTACTTATAAACCGCTACCTTTCATCTATAATAAATAACATCTTTATTCAGAAATGAAAATGGACACAGATACAAAAATATTTCTTGGGTAAATAAAATAGATCTCACATGGTTGGGTGCCTGTACTAGGATAATCCTGTGTCACAGGCGAGAGTAGGTCTAACATAATTATAATTTTATTTCTATATACGCTCTTCTATACCTAATGATCTATACCTAATGAGATTTTTTTTCAATAGTTAATATAAGTATTACTTAGTCGTTATCAACATTTCCTCAGAATTCCATAATATAGGTTATTTAATAACTATAAATATATACTTTAGCTTAATATAAAAAATAGCTATTGTCTAGTAATTTTACATAAATATCTTTTAAAATATGGGGATTTTTTCTTTTAGAATATGACATCATTATTTGGCATTCAAGTATCATGTACGACCTTTAAGATTAGCCAAGTCTGTACTTAGTTAAATATTTTGGAACATTGTAATGTCAGAAAACAAAATCAACGACCGTGTATGTAACCGACTTCGTGGCAAAACTTTTTGCGATCAGACAAAAATGAAATAAAATTTAAACATCAACTAAACGTGGTTTTATTGTAATATTTTCCTTATACAACACACAAAATTACACACATACTACACAATATATACACGAACAACACATAATGTAGGATTTATACACAGAACAGGATTTGTGGAACAGTTAGCCAAGTTATTCGTTATGCAGGTAATCTATTTTGGATTCAGTATAAACACACTAACCATCAGTTGACTACTCATCGATCAATAGTTTGAAAATTCTAGGTGTGTAATTTAAGGCCCGAGTGAATAAGTTGCTTATGGGACGACGTGCGACGTGCTCTAACGTACACCGCATCGCTTACTACCAGGCGAGGTAGTGGTCAAACGTCGGCCCATTAAATATAAAAAAAAATCTTGATTTTGTTTTAATTAAACATACATTCTAGTATCACTTCAGGCTTTGTATAGAATCAATATATTTATTCTGTATAACAAATAACTTGGTGACTGTACATTACTTTGCATCTACTTGTCGGTTCATTGTTTGAGATTCCAAATCGTTAAATGTTTACTCAACTTGATAATATTTTGTTGATTTTTCACGCTCACTGCTACTCGCTTCACATTTTTCGCTTCTTAGATTTCGTTTCCTAAGTTTTCCTTCGCAAAGCCTCTGTAAATATAGATATGACACTAATTACATATACTACGTAAGTAGAATTTTATAATAACAGCACACAATTCTGTCCAAATGTGGATTAAAAGCTTCATTTTATTGCTTTGACCAAATGTAAAGAGCATAGTGGTCTTCCTGGAAGGGTATTTTTGTATCTACTAAACTCAAATGTTTAGTGCATTGAGTACTGTTCATAAAATAAAACCACTACATCATCGTTTGCAAAATGAAAATGGGATTCCACAAAAATAATGCGTGATGTAAGGTGGCTCGGAGGTTTAAGACGCCCGCTTCTCATGCATGAGGGTGCGGCTTCGAAATCTACCAGCGGCAAGTACCAATGTGACTTTTTCCGAGTTATATCGCACCTACGGTGCAATATCGTCACTTATGCAATTTTTGTCAAAACTTAACTGATTATGAAAGAATACTCCAAATTCACCTCTTTACTTGGTACGTTATTGTCATTTGTGTAGTACACAAACTAGTGCGATATGTACTTTCTAAGATTATTCAGACACCACTGACAAACGGTGAAGGAAAACATCGTGAGAAAACCTGGACTTATTATTTCTAATTATAAGTTTGAAATCACCAACCCGCATTGAGCAAGCGTGGTGATTAATGCTCAAACCTTCTCCGTGTGAGAAGAGGCTTTGCTCAGCAGTGGGCATTTATAGGCTGTTGATGAATGTGATGTAAGATCCGTGTAAGTACTTAAGTAGTGACGTCCGTTGCTCTTATTAGTACCGTAAACTACGATAAAACAGTTTTCGCATCATATCAGTATAGTACAGTATTGCGAAAAACATTTTATAATTTATAATATCACGTGCAGACAACATCAATTATTTAACTTATACATATCTAAAGTTTAATTGGATTATTGACTTTTAAAAATGCATCTAATAAAAAATAAAACAAAATGTAACTTAAATGCAAAATGCATTCGGAATCTGCATTCCTTATAGTTATTACTAATTGACCTATTCTGTATAGACATTAGACAGATACCTAAAAAATATAGAAAATATTTACCTTGAATGATTTCCTAAACTTAGTGGACATGGCGCTGAATAGCAGTGGGTTCAATACCGTCGGTAGCCAACTATTGAACATCGCTATCTTGTTCACTGTCGACCACCACTGAAAAACAGAAAGTGTCAACAAGTCCATTTTATAAACACCAAACAATATTGGAACAGTATTGTTGGCAATTCTCCATTTTCCGACATGTGTTAATGTATCATGACGTCATCTTCATCATAAATATCCTCCCCCAATAATTTATGACAATACAAATAAAGGAAATCATAAAAGTTACATTTGACTAACAAGCTGTACCCGCAACTTCGTCTGCGTTTATAGTAGCAATAAATTATATTACACCTTAGTATATCAGCTACCTGCCAATAAAAGTATCGTCAAAATCGGTCCAGTAATTTTAGAGATTAGCCAATACAAACAGACAGACAATCCGACATATAAAAATTTAAAAATGTGTTATTTTGGTATATGTATCGTATGTGCATATGCATGCATATGCATGAAATAATAAGCGCTTATTTCATTATTACAAAGAGACCCTCCAAATTTATTTATCTGTATAGATAATAACGACAACTTAAATGATAGGCTATATGGATGTGGCTTACATCCTAGCTATGAACGAAAATGGACTGATAATGATCGATTCAGAAATTGAATCGATTAATTCATGCCTATCCATGTCGTTAAAACAATTTAATTATTAATATATCCCAGCTTTTCGCCCGCGGCATTTTCTCTTGAATTATTCTATCAAAAAAACCATAAAAATCTGTTACGTTGTTTTAAAGATCTAAGCACACAGACACACAGATGGCGAGAAGCGACTTTGTTATAAACTATGTAGTCAAGACTAAGTAGTAGTTTATACCTGATGCAGGTGGGCGAATTTTTTGTAGTGAACTGCAAACATCAACGCTTTGAGCAGGAAGCATGGCAGCCAGCAGATTACAAACGATAGAGTCAGCGTGACTAAAACATATGAAAAAGTTTAAGGAAGTAGCTCATGGAGATATGTGATATATATGAATTAGTCATGTATCAATTAAGTTCTAGATTTAAACAGGATGTCAAAGATTTTGATGATGTTTAATAATCATAGCTAGTTCAAAACCAGTCTCTATTTGACATTTATTGTTATAGATTTATCTATATTAACTAATAAAATAATATTTTTGAATAATTTACAAAACACACGACTGGAACAAACCTACCGGAAACAGTTATAAGTTCATTACATACCTCTAAAAGAGTAGTTTCCTAATATTATTTTAATGTCCGTCTGGTAGATTAATATAAATCAATAGACACGTATTTTTTCTTTTCTCATAAAATTAAATACTTTCAACGATATAAGTACTCATTTGAAATATGGTGTGACGTCACAACGTGAAACTAAATGTTATTACGTCACGATCACACTCCTATATACTTAATGCTATTTTATCTAATTGTAACTTTATACGAGAAAAAAAATACGTGTCTAATATGTTTTCATACCTAACTGACGGACTAATAAAATTTTCTATTTTATACCCTGGCAACTACCCTATTTATAAAGAAATGTTTATCAAGTTTTTTTTAAGGCATGAGGAGGAGCTCAGGAGTTGATGTAACAAAAACCTTGACTTAGATTAGGAATATGGACTACTCAAGAGTAATCTAAGTCAAATTAGCTGTAGTCTAACTTAATATATACAAGTGAATATTCACTATAATGACTGGTATACTTACGTATGAGTTTATTAACTTTCTTCTTTTTAAATCCACTATTAAAAACAGCACCATCAAAATGTCCCACATTATTATGGTTTAGTCTTACTGCTATTCTGGAGTACACGAATATCATTATAGCCAGCGGTACTATAAACGTGAGGACAGCACTCACTGCTATTACGATCCTCCCAAACCAAGATGGCAAGGAAAAGCAAATGAATGTATTTCCACTGTTGAATATCTCCAGCACCCAAAACTCTGGCACCGTCTCTAAAACCGCTATCGTCCAAATTATTCCCAGAATCTTCCCGACTCTCTGCCACACACCCGTGCGCTTCAAAGTCATCGGATAGCACACTGCTATGTATCGTTCTATCGATAGAGCCGTCATCACTAAGATGCTGTTGTTCCAAAGCACACCGATGATCAAAAAGTGTATGCACATCACGAAGTTACAAGAAAACACCCCATTGTTGTACTGGAACAACTCGTGCTTTTGTGTCAGGAGCTGATAAATGATGATCAATATTGGGAACGTAACGAGTAAATCTGACACAGCCAAGTTAAAGAGGTAGCAGTTGGTGACGGTGTGCATCGTCTTGTCGTAGTAGATCACGATGCAAGTGAGTACGTTGCCCACAAGACTAGCGACGAAGATCAAGAATAGCGCTATTGAGAATATCACTTGGGAACTGTACGGCACTTCACTAAGCGCCAACGTTACATATTTGTGCCAATCTTCTGTAATATTATCCACGGAGTCATTCATGGTTTTAGATATGTTTTATTTAATAACACACTTGTAAGTCAAAATGTTATATCCAATGTCTAGATGTTTCACAAGTTCCGCGCAAGGTGGTACAGTCGACTGAGCTCATGACACCGGCGCTGGTCAATGTTTATCTAATACATTGGTGATATTAGTTATCAACGAAGTAGTGTGTTCAACAATGTACATAAACGATTAGCTGGATTAATTCTATAGCCTGATGCGTGGGCGTGGGTATAGTAAATTGGTAGTACAAGTAAGAAAGAATTAATTAAATTTACTACGAAAATAACATTTTCTTCGAAGAATAATGTCTGAACATATGTCAATGAGGTCCCAGGTGGACGTTATATACACCGACTACAGCAAATGCTTCGATCGAATAGATCATCTTCAGCTATTGTATAAGCTGGCTTGTATAGGTATCAGAGGTGACTTGTACAGATGGTTTGCATCCTATGTGGAGGGTAGATGTCAGATAGTGGTTCTTAACGGATACTCATCAAGATCTGTCCGTGTCCCTTCCGGAGTGCCTCAAGGGTCTCTTCTGGGACCCCTATTGTTCAATATTTTTGTGAATGACATTGATGCATGTTTTCAAAATTCTAAGATTCTACTTTATGCAGATGATATGAAGATACTGAGACCGATAATGACAGAATTGGATGCAATATCTCTGCAGAAGGATCTTGATAACTTTCAGGAGTACTGTGTCGTCAACAAACTGGACCTAAATGTTTCCAAATGTTTCGTATGCACTTTCACACGCAAACCGAGGCCTGTCCTTTATGACTATAAACTCTCAGGGTGCACAATATCCAGAGTTAACAACATTAGGGACCTTGGTGTGATTTTTGACTCAAAGCTAATTTTTGATACCCATATAGATAAAATAGTGAATGAAGCATCTAAGGCTTTGGGTTTCATCTTCAGAGTCTCTTCTGAATTTCGTAAATAAAAACATTAAAAATTTTATACTGTGCGTTCGTCCGCAGTCACCTGGAATACGCCTCGCAGATTTGGAATCCTAACTACGCCATATATGTAGATCGTGTCGAGAGTATTCAGAGGAGATTTCTTAGGTACATCCAGTTTCGCTCTAAAACTTACATAAATAACTATATAGATCGTTGCAAGCAGTTTCACACCCTTCCATTATGTGAGCGCCGTAAAATTGCAGATTTATCATTCCTGTTCAATATAGTAAATGGCTCATTAGATGTACCGGAGTTGGTGGACAGAATAGGGTTGCGTGTTCTGCTTTTCTGCGCAAACCTGTACTTCTTAACGTCCCGTCTACCAACACTGTTTATAGACAAAATTCATACATGATAAGAGCGTGTCGGACATACGATTCAGAGTGCCGGAGGATTGATTTAGATTTATTTCACACTAGCGTACGTAGATTAAAGAAATTAATGTCTTCAAGTTTCTTTCAAACATAATATCTTATTTCTTTTTGTTTTTCTGAACAGTTTTTTTTTGTTTCGTCATTTGCTGTCTTTTTAAACTAGTAATTTAATTACCTATAAGCGGAAACTTGTTATTGGCCGTTTATCTATAATTTAATCTATCCTTATGTTATACCTAGCTGTAAGTTTTCCTAAAATTGTAAAATAAAAAATAAATAAAAATAAAATTGTAAATATAGAGTACATCCAAACTAGAACCATTATCTTCGGTAATAAAATTGCAATCTATATAATGAAAATGAGTCGCAAAATGTACACGCGTAACTTAAGTTATACAGCGACCAACAGTTAACTGCGCGACGCTCTCCGCGTCGTTCGTCGCGCAACACTGCTCATGATTATAAGCCCTTAGCGTATCTTGAAAGTAGTCGAGTTACCTCGTCACTCACGTAAGTAAGCTACAAAACATGATTAATTGTAAACTTTGTGAATATAACAAGAATTCGAAAGAATCGCACAAAAATTATTCCGTGTGACAATAATACCCGTGACAAACGTTTTGCAGCGGCCAGTAGCCCAATCACTGCGCCAACCGTGCAGTCACAATAACTTGTACCAATGAAAATTAAAGTAATAAATAATCTCACATAGTAATTGAAACTTATTTATTAAACATACAAAAGCTTTTACAGTTAAACTACATTAATATTTACATAGTTTCATCATCACTCGCATTTTTACTTTAAACAAATATTCACTAAATAAAATAAGAAAACAGTCTTAGAGTTTAAAAACAAATTTCCTGTAACATAAAAATATGTACATTAAAGTAAGACTAGTATTTCAGATAATAAGTAGATATTACTATGTAATTAATGTTCTTAAACGATCACATTTTACTCAAATAGGACCAAATCCCAAAACGTGGTCCTTCTGTACGAAAATTATAAAAAATACATCGGATAAAGTCTGTATTTAAAATTAACCTAGAAAATCTAGACAAAATAATATTAATAACAAAGTAATTCCTATTGGAAAAAAATTTAGAACTAAAATAAAAAAACATTCATCACGATATTTTTAAGTCCTATCATTTTATGAAAACGACAAAAACACTAATTCTTATAAAAATGTCATGTAATAATACATCGACGGACAACAGAGATCACATATTAAACTAGTCCAATTAAAATTAGGCAAATTTCAAGACTAAGTAACGTCAAATGCCAATATGGCCTCTGACCCACCTCCTTATTAACCAACAAATAGTAAATTTTAACAATATCACAACATCTAGGGCCAATTTCACAGATACTCTATAACAATTTTATGATGATTTAATAGGCTTGATCAAGAAAATGAATTTTTAATGGATTTTTTAAATTGAAATTACCATTAATAGCCGGAAATCTTCGAATCTGGTGGTGTTCAACTCCCGTGTTTCGGAGAGTGAAGACAAGATGAACATAGTAGAACATCATCGCAGATCGAACCACTTTATGACTTAATTCCAGCGACAACGAGGTTTGAGAAATCAAAAGAAAAATAACACTTAACAATATTTTCACTCCGATTGAGAATGCTCATTCGTACCGAAGCAATGGCAATATAGAGACTGTGAAACTGGCCTAAACTTAATTTAAACTTATTATAAGAATATTTAACTGTTAGTTGGCAAGAACCATCCGTGTAAACATTTGGGAGCTTCTGAAGGAGTATTGAAGGTGGTTCGAGCTAACTCCTGCATTGTCTTAGCGTCTAGTATTAATACTGCTACTGTATGCGTTACCTCACCGCCCCATACTAACGCACTTAGGAGGACTCCGTCGTCTTCATCCTGGAATAAACAGGTCACTTTGAATAAATCTTCTAATGAATATAAATGAGTTCCATGTATGACTGTCATGTACTAGACAGTCCACAGCAGGACTATGTCTAGCACACCTCTCCACATAGGAGGTTGTTATAATCTCCACGCTTGACAGGCCATTTGGAGATCGCAATATAAAAGGTTTACAAATCATAGTCGGTCTCCGTCAAATGTGTAATCCCTTACTGCCAATTTCATTAACCTATGTAAATCCGAAATCTGTTATTTTGAACTTTTGACCATTCGTTGTTAGCAATGAGTTTCAGTCTAAAATAGGTCTTAACCCACAGATTTTGGATCGAGATCGGTTTATGAAATCGGCAGTTGGTCGACTCTTACGTCACCGGTGACCAAAGTAAGTACAGTAACAACTGTATAATGTATTGTTAATTGAACCTTCTAAAGTGTAATCTCCAAACCGCCAGCCAAACGTGGCAGTGATATATTTGTGTTAAGAATCTCAGAGTTTAAAATTGGACAGTCATGTGTCATGAATTGTAGATGAAGATGGTGAGAAACAATTTGTACCTTTTAATAAAATACTAATACTACACAAAGTAACGCATTGCCTCACCTTTGCATTAGGCGCTGGCACAAATATCGGTTCGCTCGGGTAACAGTTTGGTTCACACCACGTCCTCGTCTCACCAGTTTTCGTGTCTACTTTTATAACCTGAAATACAAAAAAAAATGTTAATTTGGTCCTTTGTACTGATCAGTTCTGTTAATACTACCAAAACTGTCTTATTAAATCTGTCGAAAAATAAAAGGCTATTCTCTATTTTTAATAGACGTATGATTTATGAATTGAATTTACGAATTGCCGTAATGTTCTTTTTCTATTCGGGAATATTTGTATGTATTACCTTAACATGCAAATAAAGAGTTTGAGTTTGAATAAAAATACCTAACTATTTAAGTAATATTTGTTGTCTTACCATTCCGGGATTTTCGGCATCTACATCAGAACTGATGGCGTAAAAATATCTGTAGGGTTTAGCTGAAATAAATAAAAAGTTACCATTAACACAATATTATACTTAAAAACATATTTGGCCTAAAAATCTTAACATCTCTATTATCTCTAATTTCAAAACATTTTAAGGTCAGTAAAATATTTACCGTTATGAACATCATAGTGTATCCTTGGCGTCTCACAGCCGATGTTAGCCAAAGTCTTAGGTTCTACATAAGTAAGATTTGGTGCATCAAGTGACACCTCCATCCTCTTAGGTCGCGCTCGGAACCAATTCGCATAGTCTGCGTTACTTTGCATTGACTAAAAAATTAATCATAAATAATAATTAATAATAGATTCCTACATACCTACTAAAAATTTAAATTATAGTATATATTAAAAATGCAATTTAGAAAGTTAAGACTGGTTAATGCTAGTATTATTAAACTTTCGTTAATCGTTTTAAAAATTTAAAGTAACTACAGCATAACACTAGCTTTTACAATCTTGAAATTTCAGGTCAAAGTCAAAGTCAAAATGGCAGTTTATAAATCTCAACTATCTATAAAAATAGAAGTAAGTTAGTGTGCTTTTTAGTTAATTACCTCTTCACGGTTTATCTACTGAAACTATCTTCTTGATACTTGCATAAATATAATCAAGGGTACGAAGAATGTCTTAGGCTAATTTGACGCAGATAAAAATCGGTATATAGGTAATATCCTTAATCACTATATAGACTCACCTCAATAGCCTTAACATACATGGCGTCTATGACTTTAGCGTCCTTGTAGGCGCATATATCCACGACCAGGTTGCCTTCCTGTTCGAACGTGTTGATGATGTGCAAATAAAACAAGACTCCGTTCTGAATCTCTTAACTTCTCGTCCTGTAGACCTACTTAGGAGGACTATGTGGTCTGAAAATATAAAAAAGATATATTTTATATAGTAGTGGAAGCTATGAGTCTTATTGTAATAGTGGGTAAGTCTAATTTCGTATGTAGAGCATAATTCTTTATTTTTTATCTGTTGATTCTTCAGCCATTTGTAGAAACTTTGTATTTATTTATCATACAGTTCACAAACTAGTGCTTAATTTAAAAATGGAGTCATCTTCATTTTTATCAAGCAGATTATCAGTTGAAGAGAAAAATTGTGTGCTAAATGTCTGAAAATTGTATTCGTCGAAAGTCTAAGTTATAACAACTGGAACTTTTCTCTAGTCTAGAATATTCGAACCATAAATCCAAATAATTATGTTGTTATAAGACAAAAAATTATCAGAATATTTTCCGATTTGGTCCTTTGAGTCGAAATCAATTGATAATCCTTGAAACATAAACTGAATATTGTTTTCGAACCTAATTATTGCCTAATGGATGGATATACATAAATAAATGATTATATTTTCGGCTTACTCACATAATAATTTGACGAGGAACTCGACTAGTTTCAAGCCATTCTAGAGTCGAGTTCCTCGTCAAATTATTACGTGAGTAAGCCGATAACATAATAATTTATAAAAAAATGACTTTTTTGTGAACTGACCTCATAACCAGGATTCCATTGCAGACTGGAAACCAACTTGTCGTTGGTGATAAGGCCTCTCATTAATCCAGGGACTGAAACCGACAGTGGTTGTTCCACTATCACGAAGTAATTCTCAGTTACACCTGGAAGTCAAAAGAAAATTTATAATTACTATGTGAAAAAGTAATCTCTCTTGATGATTGAAGTGGTCAGATTGAGCGCTCAGATTCAATTTCAAGGTTTTCGATATTTTGAATTCTTAATACGAAATAACGTTTGGAATTCGGTATCGCACGGAAATAATTTATATGGGGCTATGGGGGAAGTAAATTAAGTATTATAATTATATAATATACAGGATGTATACGGAACCCTTCCGAAACGCTGATAAAAAGAAATAGTTTTTTACAATTTCAATCGTTTTTTTTCGTCGTGTCCTTCTCGCAACATCAGCCTTGAGCAGTTGAATGCATAAAAGAAACATTTAATTTCTTACTTTTTTGAAATTAATACTTATCTTTATCCATCATTTGTTTTTCGGGAGCGTTTCATTTACACCGTGTATTAAACACATAACTTACCGAATGTATGCATGTAGGAAGGATTCAATGTCCACCGAGGTTTCAGTGATGCTACGATGCGAGCGCTTTTGAACATGTCGCCTGAAAATTAAATTAGTAATATTATATTACTATACTACCTCTGCCTACCCCTTCGGGGACAAAAGGCGTGATGTTATGTTATGTTATGACTACACACTATGGACACAGTAGCAAAATATGTTGGAATGGACTTATAGTACTACCATTATACCAATATTTAATAACTTTTCTATCTAGCAATAAGAATATCTATCAGCATCGAAAAGGCTTCATGAAGAATAATTGATAAGCTTAAGGAAAATTTGAAAAGGATGAGTAAGTGAGTTTTTTTTTTTGTTTTTTTAAAAACGTTGCCCCACACTAGGATTATCTCCTGTGTCGTGGGTGCGTTTACAAACATACAAGTTCACATATACATGACACCCAGATCCGAAACAACAATTTGTGGATCACACAAAGTGTAGTTCCGTGCGGGAATCGAACCCGCGACACATTGCACGGCAGCCAGTTGCCCAGCCACCGCACCAACCGTGCAATCGAATCGAATTAATTTTCTTTGTTTGAAATAATGTTATTTACCTTTTTCCGTGTAAGGGAATTTAGCGACAACGTGTCGTATGGTGCCTTTCACGACGGACATACCAAGGTTGTAGACGTCCCCTGAAAATATAGAATATAGTATATATTGTATATCTTTGCCATTTCAGTTCAAAATCGAATAAACAGAAATAGAAGCACCCTTAATTCAATAATAATGAAGAAAAGTGACTTATCCAGAAAAAGAAGGGTAGATATAGAAAAACAAAAATGTGTTCTTTATCCTACCATTAGGCATGACATGTGGATGTGAGGTGTGGTTGACGAGCGCCACACATTTCGTCATGTTCTTACGCTCCAGAGTGTCCAGGGTAACTGTATCTATCCTGCAAATTATAATGAACAAACACTTTATCATTTTTTTTTATAAAGGCTATAATATTGTTAATTCCATATTATGGGAATAGGTCGAGTTAAAAACTAAGGTAAAAGTGGGTGTTAACAAAAGAAGTGTTTTTATTGTAATCATCTGAACAAAATTAACTAACCTAACCTAACCTCTAATCTGTTGAAACACTGGCTCCCTGTATAAAACACATTATGGCCGCAATTTTCAACAGACAAGAGCCTAAATACTGAATTTAATTCAATATTTTTATCCTCTAGACGTGCTAACAATACTAGTCATTCAACTAATGGTCTACAATGGACTTGAAAATTACGTGTCGTAATTTTTTACGTATTGTTACGCTCATAAAAACGTAATTAATTTTATATGATCTTATCTCAAATTAAATATTTTGGTACAAACTGTCCTACCTCAACACAAGTCTACATAGTTTGAATGAGACCTAAAAAAATAAATGTTCTCCGCCAAGATCGAGGTCAAATGAGGTTAAACTTTATCCGTAGTCCAGATAGGTCAGACGTATTTCTTGATATTTATTTTTTTGCAAAATTCGTGTCATTTGATTACAAAACATGATTATACAAATGGTAACACAGGTGTTTTTATTGCAATAAAAAATTTATATTTTATATTGAATGCAGTTAAGTGCTATTTTGGGAAAAATATATCTAGTTAGTTGTATTTCATTAGAATTTTCATCTCAAAATTCTCAATGGAAATGGGTCAAAGACCTGGCAAAACTCCAGACTTTCTCAATCTGGTTTCAATTTATTAATTTGGCACAGTTGCCAGATCTTAAATGCAAAGACAATTGGGATGATGACAGGGTATGAAAACTAAAAATGTAATTAGTCCGTAAGTTAGGTAATGAATAATAATAGGTGATGAATAATATTAAACACGTATTTTTTATTTTGTCGTATAATAAAACAATACTTAGATAAAACGAATCAAAGTTTAGGAGTGGGGGCTAAAACGTCATTTTACGTATAACATGTAAGTACACAGAAGTGACGTCACGCGACATTTCTAATCCATATATCGTCGAAAGTATTCGTTTCTGTAAGAAAATAAAAAATACGTGTCTAATGATTTAAAATAATCTACCAGACGGACATTAAAACAAAACTTAGGCATCTACCCTATTGTAGACACTATTGCATTCAAAATAATATAGGATATAAACTATTAACAAATTCGAGTACCTTACTGAACTTTTGCACAAGTACAACCTGGTATAATATTCAATCCAGTATTAAATCATTCTAGTCTTGTCCAAAGGCGTACAAATGTAGCCAAAGGAGGCAAATAAACACTTAAAAACTCCGCCAGGATTTTTTTTTACACTAACAGGATATTAAACACGTGTCCACGTGTAGCCTTATTGAAAAAGGAAAAAATAAAAAAAATCCCTGTCAAATTGATGTTAAATTTATTAGACATAAATTAAGTAGAGTCAAATATTCGATTTCGGTTTTATTTTAGTAGGTAATTATGTTTTATTATGTTTGGTACCTACGTGTGAACGACCTCATTTTTAGTATGTATTTATGTAACCTTATCTTGATAACATACTTTAATAAAAAAGCAAAAGGTTCACAATGGAATGAAAATAATTGCCCATGTAGGTATGACGATACATACAACCCTATGTAGGTGCTTAAGTTTCGCGTTTGTATTACCTATAATAACAACCAAACTTCAAACACGGGTAAAGCGAGTTCATAGACCTTTATATTGAAATTGGTTTAAATACGAGGTTTTTTTTTAAGGGGGGAAAATCATCAAACGACCGGGAGGGAGTGTCAGACTCTTACTGACTAAAAACCACCCCGTTCCTACTCCTGCACGTGGAGCCGGAGCTCCGGTAACCCGTTAGGTTCTCCGCGACAAATACGAGGTTTAGGGCCGAATTAAAAGTAGCCTTAACCAACGAGCATGCATGAAAAGATTGAATACTGTTGATGAAGATGAATGACGATCCCTCGAGAGTCAGTAGTCAGTAAGGTAAGAGGTATCAGACTCTTACTAACTACAAAACAACTCAGTTTCAATGCCTGCTCCGATACCTGGACTACTGTAAATTAAATGTCCACGGATGCATATAAATACTTATTTTTCTTACCTGTGTATAATAGGTCCTTCGGTGAATGCGTATACTTCATCACCAAATGGGTACACTGATATCATCGCATTATCTGACATGTGCTCCGCGGGATTGAAGAATGCTGCTACCCTGTGAGCATATTGAGTAACATCAAAATTAACAATTGAAAGTTGTTATAAAAAACGGTTATATTCTTGAGACATGTATAAGATGCACAAGCCTTCTTCAAGTATTAGGGTCTTAATTGCATAGAAGGCGTTTGTAATCCATAATTAAACGCTCAGTGTGCGCGTTGACGATAGCAGTTTAAAAAGTTTAGATAATCTATCATCTATTACATATATAAAAATGAATCCCTTTTTCCCTTGGTCACGGCATCACGCGTGAATGGCTGGACCGATTTCACTAATTCTTTTTTTTTTGTTGTATTTGTTATTATTAGGAGAAGGTTCTTCAGACAGAAAAAATCGCGAAAATCCTACGGGAACGGGAGAAAATGAGATGGCGCATACGAAGTCGCGGGCAGAAGCTAGTAGATTATAAAGCGCTGCTGCTCGGTCTCCAATGTTTTGTCCCTTTCCATCTTAATATTATCTAATTTGTTCTAAAATATCAAACATCATAAAGTTCACCTCAATTTTATTCTACTTGTAGGTAGGTACTGAACAAAGTTCAATAAGCCAAGTTTGTTAGAGACTTTTACAGAACACTTGATATTCTATTTTTAGCTCGTATTCAGTTAGGCTACGATAGATAATCGGCTTATAGTCTATTATCCTATGTCTGTACTTAGAAACAATTTCCTTTCAAAGATTAACTTTCATTACATTCTACGGCAATTTACTGCGAGGCTTAATTTATTAACACTTGAGTCATATATACGTCATCGTCCGACAACCATTGTAGGCTATTGTCCGGCGGCCGTTTTATGTGCAAAAAACATCAACTTATTTTTTTTTTCATATCTTTGTAATAATACAATTCATTCATTCAAGAAAAATAGATCGCGCGTTCATTTAAAGATAAATTATAATAATCACTAGGTACCTAACTAATTCCGAAACAAAAAATTACTTCTAAACCGTTAATGATCCTTTAAGGAAAAACGAACAATATTTTTTCTTAAAGTCTTAAAATCTATGTTTAATGCAATTTATTACTCATGTAAAGTATCTTAGCTAGTTACATCATCAGTTATTTACTTATGACACTAAGTTTATTACTTTAAACCTTAACTTCCTTAGGGAAAACGAGCAAGGAAAACCACCAACACTTAAATATTCCTAACATTATTTACTCTCTATGGTAAATCCTCATTTCTCATCTAAAAGCCTTAAGGTACAGTCACACAGGCTAGTTTCAAGCAAGGGAGCTTTCTTCAATGGAGCACTTGTCACATAGAAGCATGTGTCGGATTGTAGCTCAAAATTAGCATGCTCATTTCAGGCATGTACGAATAGGGATGCTGACAGGGTATGAAAATTAAAAATCTAATTAGTCCGTCAGTTAGGTAATTAAAAAATATTAGACACGATTTTTTTTATTTTGTCGTATAATAAAGCAATACTTAGATAAAACGAATCAAAGTTTAGGAGTGGGGGCTAAAACGTTATTTCTACGTATAAAATGTACATAGAAGTGATGTCACGCGACATTTCAAATCAATATATCGTCGAAAGTATTCGTTTCTCTAAGAAAATAAATAATACGTGTTTAATGATTTAAAATAATCGACCAGACGCACATTAAAACAAAAATTAGGCTTCTACCCTATTGTAGACACTATTGCATTCAAAATAATATAAACTATAGGATATAAACTATTGACAAATTCAAGTACCTTACTGAACTTTTGCACAAGTACAACGTGGTACAATATTCAATCCAGTATTAAGTCATTCTAGTCTTGTCCAAAGGCGTACAAATGTAGCCAATAGAGGCAAATAAACACTTAAAAATTCCGCCAGTATTTTAAAAAAAATACGGGTCTAATGATTTAAAATTATCTACCAGACGGACATTAAAATAAAAATTAGGCATCTACGCTATTGATAGGCGTTCGATTTTTGAAAATTTTTAAGTATGCTAAATAGAACAGCATGTAGCGTGCTATTTAAGAGCATTATGTACCTATATTTACCTGTCGAATATTGAATGGCAAGGGTCAGGCGCGGACTTGGTACCGAACTCCGACACTATGATGCGGTTGGCTGCTCTATTCTTCTTCAACGTATTGGTGCGTAGAAACCGACACTGGTATGTCACATGACCGTCGTCTATCGCGAACCTGGATGAGAAATATGTTGTTATTTGCCCTCTGATTTCCTATTACTAAATCTTATTTTATCTCTCTTTTAATTAAGGCAGTTTCCACTACTTTGCAAAAAATAATGTGTAATAAAGTACCGTAAAATGAGGTGGATAGGGATAGAAAGGTGAAAAGAAACAAAAAAGGGGTGAATAGATATTGGGATATTCTTCATAGTATCGATTTTATTTTTTTATGGCATAAGCCGGTAAACGAGCAGACGGATCGCCCGGATGGTAAGCAATCTGCGTCGCCCATGGACACCTGGAACTCAAGAGGCGTTACAAGTGCGTTACCGGCGCGTTACCGGCCTTTTGGGGATTAGGAGTTTGAGGATCGTTGGGATTCAGGAATTAAGGAGATTGGGGAAGGGGGGGGGAGGGTAATTGGGCCCTTCACCCCTCTTCTGTCTCTATTCACCTCTCGATTCCTATTCACCCAATTTTACCGTTAGTAATTAATTTTCATTAATTTATTTTACCTGTGCAGAAGTGCGGAACTGTCGAAAAGATGATCGAATCGCATATCTCCGACCTTCAGAGAACCTGGGCCATTTCGTAGTAATGTGCCACGGAGCCATTTCGGTACCTCACCTGAGAAAAATGGTATAAATCAATAAACGCAACGAGTTATTATGGTGTTTTTTTTTTATTTTGTTTAGTGTATAATTTGTTAAACTTTAGTATTAAAACTATGGACAGATGGACTACCAGTTTATTATTATAAACAACGTGATGCATTTGTGCAATGAAGAACCAGCAACCGTAACCAAGGTTATTCAACTACGTGTAATCTTTAATCTATAGAAAACGATACCAATATGTGGGATTCGTAGATTCATTTATGTAAATCACCTCACTAATCGATTCCAGTGAAAATCTCTTTTAGGTATATTTATATTTATTTAATTTTCTATAGTTAGGTATCGTTAACAAAATGTAGGTACCAACTTGGCTAAAGCCACTATCATACACATACCAAGAAAAGTACTCAGAAATTTTGCCTACCAGAAGATTTATTATGAAGAACACAATACCTAGAAACTTCTTGGAAAACGGTAAAGCCAATAAATAATTGACTAGAGTAATAAAAAATGTTCTGTGAAGTTACCTGGTATCTATCGTAGTAAAATTTTTATTACCGAATGATATAAGCAATTATATTCCTAGAAATTCAGAATTCCATTCCAAGAATATAATTTGTATACAGTTTACATTAGCGAGATCGTGCAAACCAAACTAGCGTAGAGTTAATACTTGTCTTATTTTAGTTATTTTTGGAGCACAGACGGTGTTAATAAAAGTTATGGTAGTAATAAAATGCGGTATGCTTTGGGAAAACTATTTATAGAACTATAGCTCTATTTAATTTTGCTTTAAGTGCTAAAGTTGCGAGGCAGTGTATGTATTTAGGGCTTGTCTCGGTCTCGGATAATCGAAACCGAAGGTCATTGCCAAAGATTGTATGATTAGATGTAGGTACAGGGGAACTTTCTTTGTGCCTTCACGCCGTTAGTGCACACAAGAACTTGTGTTCCAAAGGTTTATTGAAATTTTGATTAGCTTGTCGCGTAGCCTACTGATCATCGCCTTCATCACCGTGACCACGCACGCTGCTCATGTGGAACCCCTCTGTGGTTCGAAACTAGTAGAGCTTTTCTCAGTATATTCATGAGAGTAACCCGCGATTTTGATTTGATTTTTATTGTAACATTTTCAGTGACTAATAAGTAGGTTCTGAGATTCGAAATAGAGCAGTTGGCACGCAGAAGTAGTAGACTACCATGATAAAATTAAAAGGTCATAAAAACATATCTAGCCATTTTAATAAGAACTGTGAAATAATTCCTAACTAGAACAGCGATAGCAATAAATATTAACTGAAAAGCTATTTATAGGATACAACCTTATTTATAACATAACAAAATATCACGCCTTTTATCCCCGAAGGGGTATGCAGAGATGTAACACGCACTTTTTCACTATTTATGTTATGAGTGCGATGTAGTAGGAGTGAGCCTATTGCCATATACCGGGCACAATACCAGACGCCGTGCTTCTACTGAGTTTTTTTTTAAAACCCTGTAGTCCTTTGCCCGACCCGGGAATCGAACCCGAGACCCCTTGCCAGGCAGTCGCAGTTGCAGACTAGTCGGCCAACGAGGCAAACTTTATTTATTTTGGGAATAAATAGAAGTGCTGAAATAACTCTGTGGTTGACTTTGGTGTGTGAATATGTGTATTTGTGTTAGCGTTGTGATAGTAACTAAGCGTATAAAGTATTTTAACCTGGTGTCCTAGTAGATCGTGTATGCGATTCGATGTTGGTATTTCTGTCAAATTCAGAATAAAGCACATCGGACCACTTAGTACGGGATTTGGAGGTAGTCGAATTCAATACTTTTATCGAAATATCTTTTCCATGAATTTTGTATTGGATCGCAACTTATGACGTCATAATATTTCTGCGTCAAATAACATACTTATTTCCTTAAAATTAGCGAGAAATAATCCAAAAAATCCAAAAGTATGTAAATTGTCAAATCAACGGATGAGAGTATGATTATTTTTTAATTCTCTATTGCATTGAAAAGTTTAAAGAATTTAAACCTAGGAAACTAGCCAATTACTTTTACATCTATGTGTATTATTATTCTGAGGGTGTAGTACAAGTTTATTTTACGTTAAAAGGAATCGAAACGAGACCGCGTTCGGCGCTGTCATTGGTTGCTTCATTGGAACCAGCCAATCAGAGCGCCGAACGCGCATATGAAGGTAAAACAAACTAAGGCCTCAGATATTACCCGTACCCGTGAAACAGGATAAAATCCTTATGAAACTAGTATTTTTTTTATTTCACGTCTTGACAGAATATAACAACGTCAATTATTAATCCCGCATGATCAGTGACGGTCTACTAGGACAGCACCTAAGGTTAGCCTAGCTAAAATAGCTTATTTTTTGCATTTAATGGACACATGTGCTTCACACCATTCCATTTTACCTTTCTGTATGGAATAAGGTAGTAGACAGTGTATGAAAATTAAAAATGTAATTAGTCCATCAGTAAAAAATGATAAAATATTAACAGGTACATATTTTTTTTATTTTGTCGTATAAGAAAACAATACTTAGATAAAACGGAGTTAATTTTTGGAGTGGGAGGTCGTTACGTCACGCTACCCTATAAAATGTAGTCGATCGTGACGTCACATGATATTTCAAATCAATATATCGTTGAAAGTATTTAATTTTGTACGAAAGGAAAAAAATACGTGTCTAATGTTTTAAAGTAATCTACCAGACGGACTTTAAAAAAAATAGTCTATTACCCTATTGATGACAACTATTAAGAATTTTATAAATAAGTGACAATAAAGACCTCTCCATTACTTTTTTCCTTTTCCTTCATTTCATTCTTTAGGAGTGTCTATTAATTTAATAGTTGCGTTATGTGACTATATTTTACAAACATAATACATACTAGACCTGAAAGCATTTGTGTGATGCAGAAATTATTGGAAGGCGTGATTGAAATCCAATTCACACTGCACAACAATTACTGGTCGTTATGTTTTTATGCAACTGCTGAAATCCTTCTTGATTTATTTATTACAGTCAGTAGTAAAGATCCTTACCACAGAATACGTAAGACTACTTTCCGAGGTTTCTAGTAAAATAAAATAAAATATGATACTGACCTGTAATCATCCCTTCCAGAGGTTCAGACACCTCCTCCTCACAAGATCGGAGCCAAACGGTCGCATCACAATTAGGATACAACTTCTCTTCAATGGCTGCCATATTTGTTATGCTAGAACTACACAGTTTATTTATATCATGCGGTCAAAACATACACGACAATCACTGAACGTCCGTTTTTTATTTGTTATCTGTAGTCTTTTTGGTTGAGTAAAATTGTAAATAGAGACCTATAAAGCCATTTATCGATGTTTCATAAAAAAAGCTTAAAGAAAAAAAAGTTCTCAATTTGAATTTTTAACTTTTTTTTTAAACAGGCCCTTCGAACTTTTTTATATAGTTGGTGATTTTTGTTTTGTTTGCCGGAAAATATTTTTGAAAAATGCTATGAAAGTATATTATTTTTATTTTATAATACCAGAAGCATGCAATTATTATTCATTTTTAATAACCACATACCTACCAAAAAGAATTAACATAATATTTTTTTTATTAATTACATTCCATACCTATCCATTTCACACTAAAAATCAACGTACTTGCGTAACAAAAATTCAGTAGACAGAATATTAGAAACGCACTTACAAGGAAATATAAAAAAATACAAATTCAAAAGAAAAACCCTTAAACGTGAAACGTTCAGCCGGCGACCAACAGTTCGATAATTTTCACAACAACCATGACCTTGAACGGACGCACCGAATATAAATCGTACTTACATCAACAGCACAGAACACGAATCTTCAAATGTTTAAATTTGGAATATCGGAACACAGATAATGTGAAAATAGAATATTATTTCGCGTATTGTAAGACGCGAGTGGTGCCGATAGACGTATTGTGCAGACTGTAGGGGTGTACTTAGGACAGACTCCCCGTCACGAAGGCGACCTTGACAGTAGCTGCGCGGTTAGACGCCTACGGCTCGTAGAACAACAATGCATTATGCCAGGTCACAACAGGATTTATATTCACAATTGCCGAAATACAGATTATGTACGCTTTAGCACTCGTGCGTCATATTTGATTTTAATTGTTTTTTTTTTACTATGGGTAAAAATTATAAACTGTAAATATTTTAGATCTGTTTCTTGTGGGAATACATTGTATTTTGTTTATTATGTAAACTATGCTCTATAAGATTTATTAATTAATATACATAATAAATACTAAAATAATAATAAGAACAAAGATTAAATATTTACAACTTATTAATAAATATATTTCTATGATTAACTAAATTTAAACTAATATTATAAATACATATAACTATAAACGAAAATACATCATACCCCTTAAAATAAAATAATTATAAAAATGAGCTTAATAAATAAGTATAATTTAAATCGTATGTAAGCGTATCTACGGATTATTATAAACTGCATTACCTTATAACAACAATTAGCATAATTTAGAAAGATTCGAATTAAACTAATATATTTTATAGCATTACATTCGTTATAAAAATAATATTTAATTGGATATTTGTTTAGTAAATCACTGGAGTTTCATATGAATGACATAAGTAGGAAAATAGTTGGGAAAATCCGACACAAATAAATACCAAATGACTAAAATAGAAATAACAAATGATTTGACTGCACGGTTGGTGCGGTGGCTGGGCAACCGGCTGCCGTGCAACGTGATGCGGGTTTGATTCCCGCACGGAACAACATTTTGCGTGATCCACAAATTGTTGTTTCGGGTCTGGATGTCATATGAATGTGAACTTGTATGTTTGTGAACGCACCCACGACACAGGAGATAATCCTAGTGTGGGGCAACGTTTTTTTTTTAAAAATATATATAGTCTTCCTGTACCCACATCACTTAAGATTTTATTTTAAGTGTAGGAGAGCCATGCTAAGTGTGGGCGATCCATGCTTCGACACGAATGGGCCGGCTCGACCGGAGTGATACCACGGCCTCACAGAAAACCGACGTGAAGCAACGCTTGCGTTGTGGTTCGTTGTGTGAGTGAGGTTACCGGAGGCCCTCCCCTTCCCCAATCTCTAAATCCCTAACGATCCTCAAACTCCTAATCCCCAAAAGGCCGTTAACGCACTTGTAACGCCTCTGGTCTTCCAGGTGTCCATGGGCGACGCCGATTGCTTACCATCAGGTGATCCATCTGCTCGTTTACCGGCTTATGCTATAAAAAAGTGATCTATAAAAACACAACAAAAAATAAAAGACCTAAGTAGGTAGTAGAACTAACATTATCTAACAATCGTGTAGTTTAGGTATTACAATTATCTGAAATTGGCAAACATATGGCACGATTAACAAAACAAAAAAATCTATTAAAATATGCACCTAATTGCCGTTATAAAGAAGTACATACGTTAATAAAAGTTGCTCATTTGTACTTACATAATATTTTCAATTTGAACATTAATGTTTACAAATAATTGATACTGGTATCATAAAGGATAACTCGTCCAAGGGAAAAAGGTTAAAACAAACTCGAATATTAACACGTACATACAATTAATAATAATAATTTAAATTCAATTTCAACATCATGTATTAATAAACTTTTCCCGCTAACTATAACATATGTCAAATAAAAAAAAATACAATCCAGCCAGTAACTTTATGAAGGTGCTACTACGGACGTAAGAAATAAAACCTCTTTTAAGAAATTAACATTTAAAATCAATTAAGTATTAATTTAATTAACTACACGTGTTTTAATAATTATAATTCTCAACTAATACGGCATCATATAAATAGCAGCTATTCATTTTTGCCCTAGGGAATTAATTCATTACAAAAGTATTTAATATTCAGTCGATCATGGTGACCTGATAATAAAAATAATAAGCTCGTGGTTGGCATAATCTTAAGGTTTATCAGTACTATAGGTGGAAAAACAATGCTAATTTAGAAAAATCAAACATTTAATAAGCGAATCCCTGCCTTGTCTACAACGGAACAAAGATCATTTTATATTCAACATTTTATTTACTACCTACAGGGATTTATTGGAGATTGGAGACCAGTATATATCTATCAACAAAATTTGTCTGCTCGAAGTTTAACAAAAGTCTCAAAAAAAGCAAAAAAAACGGTGTCAATACTGTCCTCACTACATCAGAAGCCTACAAAGGACGGTATTGAGTTCAAATACAGATAAAACTATTTCTAGAACACTATTTCCGAAAGTACTTAGTTACTATCTGAAAATTCAATCCTTCTAGGCTACTCAATCGCATTCTCGCCCGTCATTGGTCGAGATTATTCTAACAACCAATGACATGGTGGACCGCGATCGAGCTCACTTCGAAAGGACGAATTGACATATCTTCATACTTCGTAGTAGTCTTCAGTGGACCCATGATACAATTACAAGATAAAGTTTTAGGTAATTAAGAATAATTATAACGATAACATTATTTGTTTATGTTAACCGTTTAATAACTTATGTTGTTGATGTGCACTTTTGTTTATAATATGAGAATTTAATTGTCACTTATTACCTAATTAAAATACAGTTGCATCATTTCGTGAACTGTAAACTATTTGTAAATAATTCAAACTAAGTAGGTACAAGATATGTTTTATTGCAATCTTAATAGAAACGGTTTCTCCAAAATTCATCTATATAAATAATAATGAATTTCCGTTCGTTAGTCTAGCTAAAACTCGAGAACGGCTGAACCAATTTGGCTTCGATGTTCATCCAGGGAAGGTTTAAAAGATGAGAAATCAGTCGGGGGACAAAAGAGAATTTTTGAGGCGGTACGAAATTCGCCGGAATTAGTAAATAATATTTTGTGTGACGATAAAACCGATGGCGCAGAAATATGATGACGTCATAAGTTGCGATCTAATACAAAATTCATAGAAAAGTATAGTTTTTTACATTTCAATGAAAGTATTGAATTTAACTACCTGTCAACTACTGTATTATGTATATACAAAAAAAACATAAAGTATTGAATATTCTAAGGTACAAACTAAAGATAAACTAGATAATAGCCTCCTCATCTATAAATAGCAAGAGCTATATCGATCGAAGACTCCATCCCACACCCTTTGATTATAATAATATGATGCCGACATATTCTTATGGCTTCTGTATTTACGTTGTGTTAGGAAAATACATTAATTCAAATTAATACTTCATACTAAAATTAAATATACCGTTACAAATGCTAATTTGAAGCACGAAAGCTTTGTCCAATGGAGCACTTGTCACATAGTAGCATGTGTGTCGGAATGTTGCTCAAAATTAGAATGCATTTCGGCCATATTTGCGAATCGACAGGCCTTCTATATTTGAACATTTTTTTTAAGTATGCTCAATAGTAGGCCTATAAGCATGTTATGTTTGTTAGAATACGTGTACATACCTACCTTTTTTTTTTAAGGGGGGAAAATCATCTAATGACTGCTCCCGCCTGGGTGAGGCGGAAGGGAGTGTCAGACTCTTACTGACTAAAAACCACCCCGTTCCTTCTCCTGCACGTCGAGCCGGAGCCCCGGTTACCCGTTAGGTTCTCCGCGACTCATACCTACCTTTAAGTTTAATTGAAGCAAGTACCTTAACTTAAAACTAAACTAATTAAAATATAGAAATATGGTATAAAAAATAAAATAAGTATTACAATAATTATTATGTTTATCGGTGTCTTCCGGTGATAATAATACATTTCATTTTAAAGCACTGTTAAAAATGACCATAAAATCTAGGTGAAGACGAATAACCACGAATTAAAAACCGTTTACAAGGTTAAGGTTAATAATAATAATAATATAATATGAAATTACTGCCTCGTTGGCCGAGTGGTCGCAAGTGCGACTACCGGGCAAGGGGTCTCGGGTTCGATTCCCGGGTCGGGCAAAGTATTACTGGGTTTTTAAAAAAAAATCTCAGTAGTAGCACGGAGTCTGGAATTGTGCCCGGTATATGGCAATAGGCTCACCCCCTATTACATGGGACTCATAACACATAAATAGTGAAAAGTGGGTGTTATACTTCTGTGTGCACCTCTGCCTACCCCTTCGGGGATAAAAGGCGTGATGTTATGTTACGTATGAAATTAACTAAAATCGCGGGTTATTCACGTAAGTAATGCGCGATTTTAGTTAATTTAGTATGTCTCACGATAGTTATTATAAAAACATAATATGAAATATCAGACAATTAATGTGCATGCGTAACAATTGGGTATCGTATGGTGAATATTCCCCAATTTTATACATAAAAGTCCTGTACTATCACTAACGAATACAACCAAAAACGTGTCCAATTGGATGAAGTCTTTTAAAAGTTGTATTTCTACCAAACCAATTTTATACCAATTTTTAAGTGCGGGAGAGCCATCCTTCGTCACGAATGGGCCGGCTCGACCGGAGTGATACCACGGCCTCACAGAAAACCGACGTAAAGCAACGCTTGCGTTGTGTTTCGTCGTGTGAGTGAGGTTACCAGATGCCCTCCCCTTCCCCAATCTCCCCAATTCCTGAATCTCCAACGATCCTCAAACTCCTAATCCCCAAAAGGCCGGTAACGCACTTGTAACGCCTGTGGTGTTCCAGGTGTCCATGGGCGACGCCGATTGCTTACCATCAGGTGATCCGTCTGCTCGTTTACCGGCTTATGCCATAAAAAAAATTAGTTAGTTTAACGTACCATCCATCAATGATATAGATGTACAAGAAATACGGTATTAATATAACGGGATGGAAGTGGTTGGCATTCGCATCGATCCTGACTGTGACATTGAAACTCGAGCTCCCGGGGGCACTGTATCTACTCGTCTCAGGTATGGGTTA